TGTTAAAGTAAAAAGTCAGCACTCTGGCTTATAAATGACTCATAAGTATATTTTCTTCTGTCTCCATCCTGCCATTTCACATATCTCATTTTGCTTTGCTGATAGAAGTGTGCCTCACTTTCTTGTAAATACAGCTGCCCTGTAACATGCACACACCTTTGGTGCAAGCTTGGTGGTGATGGGAGAGGGGGGTGCGATTTATATTTGCAGATTGTAATTTTAAACAGCACATTCTGCAGCTTTTACCTGGATCAGCTTTTACCTGGATGATTAACTTGCTGGAACTCTGCTTGGATGTTGATTTCCTGCTGTGTTTTGCTTTTGCTTGTATTCACCACATGACTAGGTTGCATGTAATATGTGAGCTCCACTTTTGCGCTTAAAATCTGATGGAAAACTTAAGGATCAAATACTGAAACCAATCACCCAATCATTTGAAATGGATAATGTACTTCTGATGATTTTAATTAATCTCTAGATTGAATCATGCTGATATTGAGATGTTAAACTGAGGCCCATTCTGGTGGATGCTAAAGATCCCATGGCACTATTAAAAAAGCGTTTCTCCCAGTGTCCTGGTCAACAATCTCTCAGATAAAATTGTTCATTGACTTAATGTCCATATATGGAAAATTTTGTGTACAAATTGGCTGCAGTGTTCATCTCTAAATACAGTCATTACACTTTACAGTAAACCCTGTGAAACGCTTTGAGACGATTTGACGATGCAACATGATTTTGCAAAATGACCAGAGAGGAGACAAGGAGAACATTTTTTACCCAGAGATAGGAAAGGGCAAGGCCGTGGAGGGCCTTAAAGGTGAGGACGAGGATTTTGAGCTCTCTCTTCTGAGGGATGGGAAGCAGTGGAGCTGGACTAGAGTGGGTGTGATGGGGTCACGGATCTTGGTGCATGGACCTCAAGGTCAGCCTGGCTCAGTTGATAATGCTCACCTCAGAATAGGAACAACAATAACAAAATTACATTTAGAGAGCACCTTTCACGTCGGGGGGACATCCCAAAGCGCTGAACAGTCAGGCGTCGGGGCCCGAGCATGGGGGAGGGGTGGTGTAGGGGTGAGGGAAGGCAGAGAGGTGGGAGGGAGACCAAAGGCATGATCAAAGAGAAGAGTCTTGAGACCGGCCTTGAAGGAGGCAAGGGAGGAAGAGAGCCGAAGGGACCGTGGGATGGAGTTCCAGAGTGTGGGGGCAGAGAGGCTGAAAGCCCAGCCACCGATGGTAGGGCGGGAGACATGGAACAGAGAGGAGCCCGCTGAACGGAGGGAGCGGGCAGGTTGGTAAGGAGTCAGCAGGTCAGAGAGGTAGGAGGGGGCTAGGCCATGGATGGCCTTGAAAGTGAGGACGAGGATCTTAAACTCAATTCTCTGGGGGATGGGGAGCCAGTGGAGATGGGCAAGGGTGGAGTGATGGGGTCGCGGAGCCTGGTGTGCGAGAGTACACGAGCTGCAGAGTTTCGGATGATCTGCAGCTTGTGAAGGGAAGAGTTGGGAAGGCTGATGAGGAGGGAGTTTCCGTAGTCGAGCCTTGATGTAACAAATACGTGGGTGAGGGTTTCGGCAGCCTGAGGGGTGAGGCAGTGGTGGAGTCTGGCAATGTTGCGGAGGTGGTGGTAGGCAGTGCCGGTCATGGTGCGGATGTGGGGGAGAAAGGGCAGTTCAGGGTCAAACAAGACACCCAGGTTCCTGACTGGCTTAGTGAGGTTGCGTATGCAGCCGTGGATGCTGATGTTGCCAGTGTCTGATGTGCAGAGGTGCAGGCGCGAGCCAATCAGGAGGGCCTCGGTCTTGCTGACGTTGAGTTGGAGAAAAATGTTCCTCATCCAGGACTTGAGGTCGGACAGGTAGTCGGTCAGGACGCCAGTAGTCCTGGAGTTGAGAGTGAAGGCAGAGAGATAAGAGTTGGGTGTCATCCGCATACATGTGGAAATTTACTGATGTTTGGGGATGATGTCACCAAGGGGGAGCATGTAGAGGGTAAAGAGGAGGGGACCGAGGACAGAATTCTGAGGAACACCGCACAAGATGGTGCGGGGGCTGGAGGAGAAGCCGTTTGCTGCAACAAAGTGGAGGCGATGTGAAAGGTAGGACCTGAACCAGTCAAGGACAGAACCTTGAAGGAAGATTGTGTGTTCATGCTCCTAGTCTCATCGTCAAGGCTGACGCTCCAGCGCAGTGCGGAGGTGTGTTGCATTGTCAGTCATTCAGCCTTACAGATGAGTCATTAATGCTAGGTTCTGCCTCAGACATTTGTGTGTGAAAATTGTCATATTTGCTTATACGACACCCACTCACTCGAATTTACAGTAAATTCTGTGAATCCTATAATTGGTCACTTCCTCCACAGATTTTTCGATGATGTGCTAAGGCACTATATTAAATACAAGGATTATTTACTATTTATTAAAATATTGTATAATTAGATCAATTAGAAAATAAATCATAAGTAAATTAAGGATATTAATACTGGAATAATATCTATATTTCTCTATTGAAACAAATTGGGCACTTGACCACAGCTCAAAACAGCTGCAAGGTGAAACCAGCAGGTGAATTGTATAATGTATTCTGTGAAGGGCTTTGAGACGTCTAGAAGACACTATATCAAATGCAAGTATTATTATTATAATTCAGTTTTAATGAGCAAACATAAACCTCTGAGCAGGCCTGCTTTTCCAATGGCTTCACTGGTGAATACAACCAAACATGGAACTGATACACATTAATCATGAAAGTTACAGGTTTCATTCGCAGTTTGTGCTTCTCTTGGCCTGGCCAGTAGCAAGACATTGTAATTAGACAAGAGTCAAAGATGCACTTGGTATCCAGAGGAAAGCAATTGCTGCTCGAAATCATTGCTCAGTGGGTAGGGAGGTGGGTCTGAAATGTGGATAGGAGAATGGTGGCAATGCTCTCATACATTTCATGCTCATTCATGCTATTCACTAAGAGGCTCGCACAGAATTCTTGGTACTCACTCTCTACCTACTGAGGACTCAAACCTATGCTTGCTTGATTTCTACTAACTGACTAATGATAAATCTCCTGTTTGTTTTTTTAAAGTAGCTAAGATGTCCGACACATTCTGAAGCCCATCACCATAGGAGTATTCAAACCAGAGTTCCATACATGTATGCCACCCGCACATGGAAATTTCCAAATGTCTGGGATGAAATGTGCACTCTTCCCCTGGAGGGATGTACCTTATGATTGTTTTTCGTGTGCATCAGACACTTATCTAACCATAAAATAATAATCCTTGCATTTGATATAAAGCCTAACTATGTTTTTGAGATGGCTCAAAACGCTTCACAGAATATATTGCAAAGCGAATTGAATATGTTTTGTGGGCAAAATGCGGCAGCAAATTGCACACAGCAATGTCCCACAAACAGTTCAAGAGAAACAGCCAGCCAAGGCTTACTGCTGATTACCATCCAGTGCCCAAATTATGTTTGGGCATGTATTCGTTCACAACAAAAACAAATTGCATTTATACAGCGCCTTTCACATTGGAAGGACATCCCAAGGCGCTAGACAGTCGAGGGTTTGCATTGAAGTTGGGGTTTGTAGTCAAGAGGGGTGGAAGGTAAGGGAGTGGAGGTGGAAAGATTACCAAAGGCCCAGTCAAAGGGGACAGTCTTGAGATTGGCCTTGAAGGAAGCAAGCAAGGGGGCGAGGTGGAGGGATTCTGTACTGGCGTTCCAGAGGGTGGGTGCAGAAAGACTGAAGGCCTGACTGCAGATGGTGGAGTGGGCAAGGTGGGGCACATGGAGCAGACCAACACCCACCAAGTGCAGCAAATGGAGGTAGGTCGCAATTTAGTAGGTTGCAGAGGTAGGGAGGAACAAGACCATGGCTGGCTTTAAAGGATCCTCTGGGGGATAGGTATCCAGTGAGCTGGATGAGGATGGGGGTAATAGGCTCACAAAGCTTAGTGCGGGAGAGGACATGAGTTGCAAAGTTCTGAATGATTCGCAGCTACCGGAGGGAAGTGTTAGTAAGTCTGCCCCTCTTAGTTGGAGTGTGCATCCACGATTAGTAATGCGTCTGAGGTGAGGAGGCACTGAGTGGAGCCAAGCAGGAAGGCCTCAGTCATATCAACGTTCAACTGGAGAAAATTGGCTCTCATCCAAGACTTGATGTCTGAAAGACAATCAGTCATGACAGCAGTGGTCCTGGAGGCGAGGGTGGAGGCAGAGAGATAGAGTTGGGTGACATCCGCATACATGTGGAAGTTAACCCCAAGCCTGCGGATTACATCACGAGCAGGAGCATGTAAATATTAAAGAGGAGAGGACTAAGGACAGAGCCCTGAGGAAAGCCGCACATAGCAGTGCAAGGGCAGGAGGATAAGCCATTTGTAGATATATCGTGGAGATGATGGGATAGGTTAAAGCAAAACTAGGCAAGGGCAAACCATGAAGATGGAGCTGAGAGGAGAGGCATTGGAGAAGAATAGAGTTGTTGATTGTGTTAAAAGCAGCAGAGAGATTAAGAAGGATGAGGAGACAGAAACAGCACTGGTCACAGATGGACAGAATATTATTTGTAACTTTGACTAAGGCAGTCTCTGTACAATAGGCAGGCAGAAACTAGATTGGAGAGGTTCATATATGGAGTGGTGGGAAACAAAAGAGTGAAGCTGGAAAGTAACGACTTACACAAAATTCTGCCACATTTAAATCTTTCTACACAAGTTGAAGCAAATCTTTGTTTTCCACCCCACAACACCACTGTATAGAATTCTACCACCTTAGAATATGGAATATTTTAAAACCAAAATCACCAGGTAATTTGTATTGAGATGTGTACTATTTGTGGGACATTGCTGTGCGCAATTGGCTGCCGCGTTCGCGGTACAGTCAATTCACTTTACAGTGTGTTTTGTGAAGCGCTTTTGGGACATCCTCCCGACATGAAAAGCGCTATATCAAATGCAAGGATTATTATTATTACTGCAACAAAACAAGAGGTCCCCACTGAATCTTTACATTGAACTAGAAAATAAAACAAATGTGAATTTCTTCAAATGGTGCAAATCAAAACGTATCATCCTCTAAGGTTTATTGAACTTTCTGAGCAATGCTTAAGGTTTGCTGTGCAGCATTTTAATAGGGCTTTGAATCATGTAGAACAATCCACGTTAACCAACTGTGAGCCACAAATATTTATTTAGTCATTTCAAATCAAATCCACGGTGCACCATATTAAAAGTAAAGTGCACCAGCCACATCAATGTCTGTTCGGAAAAATCTTTTGAATGTACGAAAGTAAACCACAGCTGGTTGTTAATGCTTTTAAACTCCTTTGCTTGTAACATACTGGAAGATTTTTTTGTTGTGATCGCAAACCAGAATTACAGAAAAAACAAGAAAATCAAGAGTTTTCTTCATGTAAACGTTGAAACCTAAATACCAAACATGGATACCCACTTACACTACTATCTATAAATCGAAATGCTTCTTCCTGCACAAGATTCAACTTGTACCCATGACACATTCATGATTTCAGTCATTCAGTAGCATAATGCATACATTTAGGTTTCTGAGGCAGGATTAGTCCACTAATGGGGGTGGAACAAGCTGTAGCTGGAAGTTTTTGCTCCGAATGATGCTGGATTGATTAAAGTAATGGATTGATTCCACTGGGACTATTTTGGTGTTGTCTGTAACTGCAGCATTGTGTCTGGCAAGATCCAGCAGCAGGGTAAGCTGTTAAAGAGATTATAGCTTTAATAAACTGCAAGTGAGGACAACAATCAGTAAATACATCAGTGCTTTTGATGGCATGCTTACTGTGAATCCATCTTTCTAGTGAAATAACATTTCCTTCATGATAAGGATTAACTAAATTATTAAACACTATATTTAATGGTTTAGGCATATTGTTCATATATATCCTTTTTAAAAAATCCTGTGCCCTTACATGAAAGACACTATACCAAATGTAAGGATTGTTCATTATTCATAATAATCCTACTGATTCTTTTGGAAGCAGGTGATGAGATCTGTTTTTATTTCCCACTTCCCCTGAAATTCTGCAGGGCAGTTGACAGCCTAAGAGTTAAAAATATTATTATGTGGGGCAGTTTTTATCCTTTGAAGGCTGTCCACCTATAAATGAAGCAATGATAGCCAGGATCAATAGAAAATTGCAGAAATATTTGCCAAAATTTGAGGGAAAATTTTTAAAATTTGTACCACTTTGAAAATTTTAAAAATCACACACCCACACAAATTATGTTATGAAAAATAAACTAATGAAAACAATACTTAAATGCAACTTTTAAAACATTTAATGCTCAAAAATAAGAAAACAAAGATTCTCACTCTTGAAGGATTTTCAAACACTGTTCTCATATGATCAAATGTAGCGATCTGTCTAGGATCCAATATACCATCCTCAGTCTGAAAAAGGTCAGTTACACATTGTTCAGTGATTATCTTAATGCAAGATTTTAATTGTGTGAAACATGCATTTTTCCTATGAACCTACCTTTTCTTTGTCTGGCGTTTGCCGAGTGGCCTTTGTTGCAATCTGAAAAAAACAGATTGAAAGAAAAAATTGAAAGACCATTCCAATTTTGTTTAGAAAATTTGTTGAAACATTCGTAAGAATTCTCCAGTGGATCAGAGATCAGCGAATTCCGCCTTCTCTGGGGGGTACTTATCAGAGGCTTATCCAGAGGACCAGCCCTGTGCTCTGCAGAGTGATCCACTCTAGCTGATACACTGACAACACTTCGGGTTGCCCATCACTATTAAGCAGCACCACATCTGGGGGATTGTTGGCCAGAACACCTGGAGAAACTCCCTTCTCTTTTCCAGTAATGCCATGGGATCTTTAATATTCAACTGACTGGGCAGACAGGACCCGGTTTAACATCTCATCTGAAGGATGACACTTCCAACCCAGTACTGCAACGGAGTGTCAGACTAGACTGTTTGAATTCAAAGACGTAACATGGGGCTTGAACTCACAACCTTCGGTCTCAGAGGTGAGAGTGTTCCCACTGGTTCAGGCTGACATGAAGACAGCACAAGCAGTCATTCTTGTTGTGCCTTTCTCTTATCCCTTTGTGCACATGGAGAACAATAAACCCCACAGTTGCAAAACATTCTGCAGCTGAGTACATAAGCAAACCTGGAAGTACAGCCACATGCAGCATTCCTTTAAAAAATAAGGGCATGTCCACTTAATGGCACTATGGTCTTTAAAGTAAGGTTATTTCACAATAGATGAGGATGATTGCAGAGTACACATTGTTTCTAAAATCAGAAACTGTTGAAACCCAGATTACCTTGGTTGGCAGAGACATTTGTTGAGAGGCAGGTTTCACCGAGTTAACTGTTTTCCCTGTCCTTTTAGAGGATGTACACTTGAAACATAGCCAGTTCTGGTCAGCTCCAAACTCCCCGAAGCAATCTTTGCTCTGGAGGCAGTATGAGTGGTATATGTGGCCACAACTAGAATAAAAGATGACAGTTTTATTACTGACACCTTCTTAGTTACCACAAATTATAGTCAGGCATCAATTTCTACAGCCATTCACTGCCATGAATTTCTATATTAAGGACTTGAATCCCTTGATTTCAATATTCGGTCTCCTAGCTTCACCGATTGCATTGCTAAAATATTGGATGACTCATTCCTCGTACAGACTTCCAATTCTTTAAATGTATTTAGATATTAGAAAATGAACAAGCCATCAACCATTTTTTTTTCAGGGGGAAACAGTGGAAAAAAAGGATGTGTAACTGAGATGCAACTGTCCTTTTAAAAATTGGAATGGATACAGCCCTGATGGTGTAGTGGATAAGCTGCATCTTACAGACCAGGAGCTCGCTGGGTCAAAGCTTGGTCAATGCTGGGTTAATCTCAGCTGGGGAACATCAGACATTGTTCCTGATACTATAGATTCTCTATTGGTTGTGCCATGTGTGGGAGGTGAATGAGGAGAGGTTAAGCTCTGCTATGACACCCCCACAGTTGAGCAGCTGGTGACTCTCACTGTCAAGGTTCAAACATGAACAATGACAACTTGGGCAGGGAACAAAAAGCTAACCAGCACCTGTGGATGCCAGGGCAGATCCAGAAAGGCAAATGCCAGTGGGAAGAAAATTTGAAAAATAATCGGACTCCGAGTATAACAGCAGCCTTCTAATGAATCTGAGTCAGGTGATAACAGAAAGAAAGAAAAAGAACTGGGTACTGGTAAAGAATTCCATCAGAAGATATTGTTGCCACATATTGGCAATAACGTCTTTTGTAATGGTGTCAAAAAAGGGCAGCACCCAGTGGTTTTGGTCTAATTTAGAGGACATTAATGATCTGACATCCTAGTTGGTGTTGAACATAGCCCAATATATGGCTTTGGCGGCATCACTGCTAATGGGATTTCCCGACCCACCTATTTTAAATCACATGTCGCCAAAGGTACTACGTACAACCCAACTGGAGTTCAGTCCACGTGTATTTGGTGAGAAGGTTAGAAAAGTGATGAGCAGTCTCCTGTGAACAACCAAGTTCAAGTTGATACAAGATCAAAATTCTTACAAACAAGAAAGCCCCATTAGGCTTCGAAGAATCTCGGATACAATCGATACCTGAATAGAATAACTTCTTCCTCCAAACTGAGGCGTTCGCTGTAGTGTTTTGTGCAGATGCCACATATTTTGTGGTGTGGTTTTAGACCCCTGTTCATCATAGCCCTCAGATTGCTCAAAGAACAGTGAAGGTCACGGTTTAAAATGTTTTTAGTGGTTTCCATTAAAGTCTGAAAATACACAAAACAGTACATCCGAACCTTAGCACTCGTGTGTGATGTTGAAAGAGAAGAGAACCACATTGCTATTGGTATTGTACTTGCTACGTCCAAAAAGTGTTTTAGAGAGGCTGGAAGGAATCACTATTATCTTCCTAGCTGTCCCCACATAAAATCTTTGCAAACTGCAGCATTCACCAAAAAGAAGTAAGCCAAGTTGAAATCTGGGAATAAATAATATAATAATAATCAGCCTTTTATTTGATACAGTGCCTTATCACGTCTTCGAGACATCTCAAAGCGCTTCACAGAATATACTGTAAAGTTAATTGACTGTAAAGCGACAGCCCAATTGCCCACAGCAGTGTCCCACAAACAGTTGTGGAATTCTGGGACCAAATAATTTTTTATTTATTATTATTATTGTTTGGAGGGATTATTACCCCCAGAAGAGCAATCCGCCAATCGACTAACATTCATTGTTTCTACTTAGTGCTAGGTAAACAGAAGTGGATGGAGTAAGGAAACTTGCCCGATGTTTCGCCCTGCCCGGGAATCAAACTCAGACCTACTCGCTTGTGAGGCGACCACACTAATCACTACGATACAGGACTCCAAAACCTACAACCACAACTTGCTTTTATACAGCACCCCTCACGGACAGTAGCCTCTCAGTGCACTTGCATCTATCTTTGGTACCAATTATAAATAGGTCTCATCATAGACAAGAATTACTCTAGTGCCGTGCTGGGGGAGCCATTGGACTGTCAGAGGTGCCATCCCTCAAATGAGATCTTACACCATGATCCTATTTACTTCTCTAAGTAATGTTGAAGATCTCATGACACTATTCAAAAAGAAAAAATCCTCCAGATGAATGCATGTTTCATTTCAGAGCTGTTGGTGTAACATTATTGTGCACAAATTGGCTGTTGAAATTTCGTACAAATAGTCATTACACTTCAAGCAATTCCCTATGAAGCACTCAGATGTTAGATGCCATAGGCGCTATATCAAATTCAAGGATAAGTATTTCAGCGGACACAACTCACCTGCTCATAAACAAATGTATCCAGCATCCCTAAGGTTAGGTCTCTTACATCTCCAAATTTTCCCATGCTGTAACCTGGATCCTAATAAAATGAATAAAATAGGAAGACTGATCCATATTTATGTATAGCGGTCAGTGGATATAGGTGCTTAAAACTTCAAGGCAATAAACATTAAAAAAAACTTTGAAATGGAATGTAATAATAATAATCCTTGCATTTGATATAGGGCCTTATCATATCTTTGAGACGTCTCAAAGCACTTCTCAGAATATACTGTAAAATGAATTGATTGTATATTTTGTGGGCAAAACATATTTAATGTAGGTAGTTAACAAGTCCTAACATTAACCCGTTTTAAGGTGGTCCACAAATGGTCATGGATTGAGTGACCAACTTATTATTTTTAAAAAAATGTTTTTTGAAGGGATTATTATCCCCAGAAAAGCGATACGCCAATCAACTAATACTTGGAGTTCTATCACTGCTAGGTAAACAGAGTTGTGTGGAGTAAGGAAACTTGCCTAAAGTTTCACCCTGCCCGGGATTCGAACCCAGGAACTCTTGCTTATGAGGAGGGTGTTCTAACCAATACACTGCAGGAAACATTGTAGTTGACAGCCGACAATCCTACCACAATCACAAATCCAGAATGAGCTCATTAGTACACTGATGGTACACTGATAATGTAAGTGAAATGTACAGTCAATTCACTTTACAGTATATTCTGTGAAGCGTTTTGAGACATCGAAGATGTGATAAGGCGCTCTATCAAAAATATCAAATGCAAGGATTATTATTATTATTGGTGGCTTAGAAATCTATCATGTTACCTTTGGGTGAAAGCTCAAATTCCGTCAATGCCAACTTAAATGATTTCCAAGCAGAGTCCATTTGGGTAACAACAAACCCATTCTCAGTCGGGTTGGAATGAGTCAGTCAGCAGCACAAAAGTACCTACAATCTGGTGTAAACTTGGGAATCTTACTAGGAAAGCCACACAATTACTTGTGAAAACAATGAAATCAATACTGGAACATTGAGACCAGCAACTGGGACAAAAAGTGGAGCAGCAGTGATCCTGTGCTGCTTCTGTTTGCATATTGAGTGGCAAAAATAATGTTTCTCACTTACATCTTCCGATAAATATTAAATTCACCATTTTATAATAATAAACTGTGATGCCTCTGACACAGTAACCTTTTTAAAAAATAACTAAGAATTCATAGTCAAGTTTGGAACAAAAATAGTTGAGATCATGTAATTCATACAGGAATGCTAACCACCAACTACTGGGTCAGATTGACTTAGTTGATAGCATTTCTGTCGCTACGTTGAAACATGGTAGGTTTTAGCCACACACTGGAACTTGAACTCTTAATCTAGTCCGACATTCCAGAGCTATACCAGAGGAGCATAGCATTATTGGAGGTGTTGTTTTTCGGACAGGACGTTAAACCGTTCAGGCAGAGATTAATATCACATTACTGGAAAAGAGTAAGCAGTTTCTCCCGTACTGTCCCCTGGCCAATAATCCTCCACATTAATTGATCATTTATCTTGTGGCTGTTTCTGGTCCTTGCTTATATTAAATGATTGATACATTTGTCTACAAAACCAGTATATTTAGGTTTAGTTTTCAGTAATTACCTATGGAGTAAGTGTTTTGAGAAGTTTGTCAGGATAAAGCACTACAAAGATATTCCTTGCTTTTACAATTACATAGCTGTAAGCACCCTTCTTCCCAATTCAATATCCCAAGCTGTATGATAATGTGCACACAGATTGTCATCTGTGTGAACTGTGTGCACACACCTGGAAAGCAGAATCAGACTTCTTATTACTCACGAGAGCTTACCTGTATGACTTTTTGCAGTATTGCTGTTGGTGGGATGTGGTCTGTTATACTATTTAAGACCATTTTTGTTAGCAACTTAATACCTGTTCAAAAAAAGGGAATACATAAACACCATGGCTGACACCTTGCATGACAATTTATCAGGCCTTAATCAGAAGTGTAATACACTGGGCATTTCAATGCTCTAGGTCCATTTCTGTTTTTTTTTTAAATCGGTTTAGGAATCAGCTTAAATTAGCTGCAAAACAACAACTTTACAATGCGATCTGTGTGTCAGTTTAAACAATACCTAATTTACTGCAAAATGCTACTTCAACAGGGGGGCAAATTTGACTGCCATTGCAATTTGCAGTACAGAGTTGTTTTACAACAACAACAAGATTCCATTTATAGAGCGCCTTTCACGTCGGGAGGACGTCCCAAGGCGCTGTACAGTTGGGTCATGACCCGAGCAGGGGGGAAATGGTCAGGGTGAGGGGAGGGAAGGGAGGGAGCGAGGAGGGGGGAAATGGTCAGGGTGAGGGGAGGGAAGGGAGGGAGCGAGGAGGGGGTAGAGAGTCGAGAGGGGAGCTGAAGGCACGGTCAAAGAGAAAGGTCTTGAGACCGGCCTTGAAGGAGGAAAGGGAGGAGGTGGCGAAGGCACTGGGGGATAAAGTTCCAGAGCCTCGGCCCGGCCACCGATGGTAGGGCGGGGGATGTGGAGCAGACCGGAGCCAGAGGAACGGAGGGTACGGGCAGGTAGGTAGGGGGATAGTAGGTCAGAGAGGTAGGAGGGAGCAAGGCCATGAATGGCCTTGTAGGTGAGGATGAGGATCTTGAATTCGATCCTCTAGGGGATGGGGAGCCAGTGGAGGTGAGCGAGGGTGGGAGTGATGTGGTCCTGGTGCGGGACAGTACACGAGCTGCAGAGTTCTGAATGACCTGCAGCTTGTGGAGGGAGGTGCCGGGAAGGCCGGCGAAGAGAGAGTTCCCATAGTCCAGCCTTGAGGTGATAAAGGCGTGGACCAGAGTTTCAGCAGCGTGAGGGGTGAGGTAGTGACGTAGTCTGGCCACATTCCGGAGGTGATGCACAATTGGAAACATAGTGCAAAACAGAATTATCCTGTGTGTTTTGTTAAAAAGAAAAAAGTAGCCTTTCGACTCCATCATGTTCAAAGCAACTCCCACCGACTAGTTCTATACTTGTCAGTTTATCCACTGTGCTGTAAAAATACATCATCACAGTGACACTCAGAAGACATAGTCACTTTATTAGGTGCTTAAGCACTTCTAAAAAGAACTGAATTATGGATTGGACCAGTAGGTTTGCGTTCACGGTATAGGTTACATATACATCCACTTTCCCAGGGAAATGTAGCAGATCATCTCCTACATTTGCAGTCCATAGAAATACCTCATTATAATTCAATACCATATTATGCTTAGTGTGGGAACCCTCTAAAATATCGACATCAATTATTAAATATACATGTTCATTCCTTTTGAAACTGCCAAGGTTCAATACTTTTGGACATGCTTGTGTGGTGAACAATCACATCACCTGTGTATCTATAACCAGACACACACACACACACACACACAACAACAAGATTGCATTTATATAGCGCCTTTCACGTCAGGAGGACATCCCAAGGCGCTGAGTTCACATACAAAGGGTGGACAAAATGTCATGATATCTATCCTATTCTCTAAAAAAAATCATAATTTCTTTAAGATTTATCAGACATTGTAATGGTATCATTACTTTTTGAACACCTTATAGATATATATTTGTATAAAAATATATATTAAAAAACTCTTTTCTGGTTGTAGAAGTTTAAGAACAATTAAACGTTGCACAAACCATCTGCAAACGGGGATGATATTTTGGTCTTCAGGTGATGTGACGGTGCCATTATTAGCTCTAGTAGCGGAAACCAGAGTGCCTGTTAAAAAAAAATACATGTTGAGTTTACTGAAATAAATTACCCTGTACGCCTAGGATAGAACAATCTATTCGATTCGCCTCTATTCTTCCAAACACTATAACTTTATCCATCTTCCTTTTCGTGGGAGGACAATTCTTACCCAATTCCATACTTTTGGTGCTTTGGTGAACACATTTAAACCTTTGGACAGAAATGAAGGAGGAACACTACAATGGGAATTATTTTAAGATACCAAGCAGGAGTCTTGTGCAACACACATAAGCACGCATGAACATTCAGAGCAGAAGGGGTCCTCTTGGATTCCATACTGAAGGAAAGCTGACTGACCAACTGACTTCTGATGTTAACCAGGCCAAACTCCAGACTCTCTGTGCACCGCAGATTTCAACTGGTAGAGTTTTTTCTCCTCTCTAGCCTTACCTAACGCTCATCAGTTTTATATTCCATGCTTTTGGTCATTATTCCCCACCACTGGCCTCGGTTCCCACCTCAGCTTGGGTGCCAAGCAAGCACTGTTTAGTCCCTTGGAACACATCATCTAATTCTGTTACACCAGAGGACCTAGAAAGACCCCTTAAGAACTCAGTTATTCATTGGAGTTGAATAAGAGTATGGATAGTTGCCTCGAGGGAGGAAAAGGTACTTCTATACTCTGTGACAACTAAATTCCTTTCACCCCATTTGTTTAAGAATAAAGTATCCTGCACTCTGAGACTAAATAGTGTTACTTCTATCCATTTATAGTTTACAATTGTGAACCTATGTATAAAACATTTTAAATCAATCGGTTTCAAGCTCTTTGACAAAAGCAACTGCAGTTAAAGATGAGATTTGCACATTTTATTTTTCATGTGCTGTGATCTGAAAGTTCTCTGCATGAGACAGTTATGTAACAAGATGTTTCGAGACGCTATTCTGTATGAAGGGCACTATACAAATGTAAGCTGTTGTTGTACTTACCTCTTTTTGCTCAAAGTTGAGGTTTCTAGAGCTCCTTTGGCAGAGTTTGATCATTTCCTCAAGAGAGGTTTGCACATTGTAAAGTCCAGGGATTTCAGTGTTGAACTCCCCTAATTCTGAATACAACAAAGAAAACTTCAGTTTCATTTATTTAGGTAGATTATTTTTCAGACTGTATTTAGAGATTTGGAAAACTAGTCATTTTATATTTTCTTGCATAGTGAGAGAAAACAATTCTGTCTTACTGATATTTGATTTAAATGCAAAATGATCCATGGTGCTTTACAAATAATATCTCTGTAGTATATATACCTTTTTAAGCTATTCATAAAAAGGTCAACAATTAAAACTGCTGGAACAATAGAAGCCTTTACATTGCATTTCTGTGCTCCTTGGCACGAACCAAGATCTTGATATATAATAATGTTACACAGGTAGCAATGCACAACTGAAAAAAACTTCTATATAATAATTTTGTAATTATATAATAATTTCTTTATAATAATAATAATAATCCTTGCATTTGATATAGCGCTTTTTACGTCAGGAGGACGTCCCAAAGCGCTTCACAGAACACACTGTAAAGTGAATTGACTGTATATTTGTGGGCGAACGCGGCAGCCAATTGCGCACAGCAATGTCCCACAAACAGTCGTAGATTGAAAATGACCAATTTAATTATTGTTTTGGGTTTTTTGGAGGGATTATTATTAGGCGTGTGGAGTAAGGAAACTTGCCCAAGGTTTCGCCCTGCCTGGAATTGAACTCAGATCTCTCACTTGCAAAGCGAGTGCTCTAACCACTGAGCTACAGGACTCCACAACTGAGCTACAGGACTTTAATCTGTATAATCAAAAGTTATGCACTAGGCTAACATGCACTTATACCTCACTTTATGTGCAGCACCATTAAGATCTTACCTATTACCTCTGAAATGTCCCTAGCCTTTACGCCTCCCTTGATCATATTACTGTTTAGGTACTGAAATACTATTTTCTACATTCTCTGCATCTCCCAGTTTATCTTATCTCACGTTCCGATGAACAGTCATTGACCTGAAACATTAAGTCACTTTCCACTCTCTCCACAGATGCTGCCTGACCTGCTGTGTGTTTTCAGCAACTTCTGTTTTTATTTCAGATTTCCAGCATCTGAGGCATTTTGTCTTTTATTTATCTTATCTCATGTTGGTAACAGTTGCCAAATCGCTGATCATTGGTTTGATAGTGACTCATTTATTTTCCTTTTACTCATAGCTCAACTTCCTCCCCCTTGTTAGCCCATCAATAGCTATATTACTATCCTTAACTAAGAACTTCACTCCTTCACCTAGCTTGATTAATTTATTCAGTGGTTAAAGTGAGTCTGAACTTTTGAGGGCTGCAATTGCTCACATTCTTAGTCTGAATGAACATTTTGTCTTAAATAGCGCAGAATTGCAGGATCTTGCATTTTTACAGACAAAATAGTCTTACGGATCTAAGGGCGGTTGGAATTGTGGGATTCTGGTTCTGAACTCACAATAGGACGCAGAGAAGACATTTCAATTTCCAATCACACTGCTCTGCATTGTGAGGATTCTCTGCCCATGTGCTGGTTCAGCACCACCACGTGCATTTGTATTTGTTCTTATATGTGGCTATGTATTTGCTTGTTTCCAAAAGCAGTTTTTAAACACTAGCCATTCCTGTCTATCATCAACTGAGAACCAACCTGTATTACCCTGCTTGAAATGAAAAGATTCTGCAAGTGAGTTCAGCTTGTTCTTCAAGTTCTGGAAAAAGAAAGATTCAGTTGTATGTAGTATACTACATAGTCTGTATTAATTGGAACTTGCACAATACCCCCCCAACAAAAAAAACAGGTGTAGCAAAATAATTCAGCGTTTTGATGTACAGGTATACATACGTACTAGCATTTAAAGAAGCAAAATACATTTCCATCTGAAATATGCGTTTGAAATGATCTCCTGATGTGAAATATCTGCATTTATGCATAAATATGAACGATCTGCACACTTGGGACTTCATACTTCAAATAAAATCATGTCCCATGCAACATAACCAGCTGCCAAACGAAAGCTGAATTTTAGGATTTTCTTCAACTCTGCATGATATGAACAATTTCCCAAAAATAGTTTGACAGACAAAGATTATGTGGAATTTCAGTTTGTATTTATTTTCTAATCCTTCTCTCTCAAATTATTTTATAAGCTACAAACAGCAAAATATAAATTTGATGTTTATTTGACACAACTGAACTTAATCAAACCAATGACATGCAGACACTGCAAAGAGGCAGGAAGAATAGAAGATCCGACTTAATTAAGCTAGTTATATAGTAGGAGTTTCCTCACAGAAACTATTCTGTCAATATAACTGCGTCAAAGTACTAATGAAATAACCCGCTATTTTTAGAACATCCTCTCTAAGACTCAGCTCAGTAGTTGTACAGACTTTCATTCAAAGCTTGCAGTAACCATTCATTAACATCAATTGTCTCTTCAGGAAACAACACATTACCAGATTGTGACTTCACGTTTGAGATTACTTTATCAAAGTCACATTAAACATTTGTTCTGAGACCTTGGCAAAGGATCAGGAAGCGTCAATTTCCTAGTCACAACCTAGAAGTACAGTTATGCAATTCAGCAGCATGCAAACTAATTTAAATTCAATTCATGGAAGTGTATAATCAGGAGTTACTGGAAAATCCTGAACACCACAGGAGTTCTAGCTACAACAAGATCACAAGAAGGCCCTTCACCGCATCCTTCCTGAATAACCAAACCCCTTGCATCACAATGACAAGGTTTTTTTAAAAAAACAAAAAAATGAGTCCAGCATCCTGGCCTCTACCACCCTTTCTGATAACCCATTCCAGTCCTTAATACCCTCTGTGTCAAGAAACATTTCCTAGTGTCGGTCCTGAAATTGCTCTCTGCAACTGTAAACTAGTGTGGTATAAACAGTGGCAATGATACTGCCATCAAGTGGCCCTATACAGTTCCTTGATGCTGCACAGTTTGTGAATGGACTTTATGCTATTTCTCAACATTTAATCAAATCTTGCAATCCTTACACATTTTCACATCTAATAACCGACTTTGAAAAATGTTCATCCACAAACTAGACTACACTTTACTGTAAATCCTGTGAATTGCTTTGAGATGTCCTCTGGACGTGAAAGGTACTATATCAGAAGCAGGATTATATTCACTGGCAAGTGATCTTTAATTGTAATCTTAATTAGTGGGTACCTCCAATAGGACAGAGACTGCCCCCTGTACGTTTCCCTGTTTCTCCAGGAGGTAAGCAAGTGCATCATGTACGTGATGTTTCTTCACAGCCTAGAAACAAAATGAAAAAAGGCAGTTTTTTTTCCCACTCTCACATATTAGCAATACAATTTCTCACAGATTGTCACAGGTTAACAGTGAATTGCTACCCTAAGACAGGGATGTAGTCTAGTTGAGGTCATCTTATTTCAGAATAAGTTCTGTTTGAGAGCACATTTTATGAGAATGCATTGGTTGTATGGGAATGATAATCAAATGAGAGACAAATTAGACAGACTGTATGTCTTTACCAACAGGGACACTTTGAACTGAAACAGCTTTGGTAAAAACATAAAAATGCTGCTGCCTGCCTCACTGAGTAAGCAATAATGTCAGCTGAGTTTCCAAGACTACTCTTCATATTCAGCAAAGCTTTAGTGACAAGGTCGGACATCCTTACACAGTATCTGCTCATGACAAGTAAAGCAAATGACTGCCCCAGAGGCAGGGCCTACAGCTCCACAGAGTTCGAAATGGTGCATATCTGACTTCAAGGCAGTCCATTTAGTCCCATTGGTTGTATGAGAATAATAATAAAATTATTTAAGTTATTTTCCTGAAGTGATTATCTTAACCCTGAATCAGACTGATGCTTGTAGTACAAGCCATATAAAAGTGGCTCCCCAAGTTTAGCAGTAAGCATCTCGTAACTTGCTGCATGTGTATCTTTAAGGTTTGGGGTTAACACATGTAAGCAGAGCATTTCCTTTGAAAATAAAATAAATGAAAGAAAAAACATTGCAATACACTCCACTTGAAAACACAACCAAGGTTCCATACCTCAATTGCTTCTTCAAGGCGGTAACTCTCGGACATGGTGAGAAACGTTGTCACTAAATCTGGTTTATTTTGACATAACAACTCAATGTACTTCTCATGATATTCCGCGTTTAAAAGACTGGCATCCTGGAAAGGCCAAGGTACTGTACTACAAACCAAACACACACACATTAATGTACAAAGTTTGACACACGACCAGAACATGAGAATATTACAGGTGTTAAACAAAGTGACGAACAAGATCTGTGAGGTGTGGTGGTTAGTTCAAAAATATGCAAACATAGACCCTACAAAATAACATGTTGCCAATTATTAATTCATAATGCATTTAATCTAATTTATGGTATTTGGAAAAGGAATTATTTGTAAATAGTGAACCTGCTCGTTCCCTAAACCTAGCTCACATTCAACTTAATTGCAGCAAAAGGTTTCCAATATCAGAGTCGACTTCCAGATCCACTATTTACAAATCCAATCACTAATATCACAACATTGGATCTCAAGGTCCCTCCACATACTACAACTCCAAGGTGACGAGCTTGACAACAGAACGTCAGAATCGAGCCAATCCTCTGTAGTAGTCTGGCTCTTTGGTAGGACTTGGAGGGGCAGACTGGACACTGGGGTGGAGAACTCTTCCCACTCAGCTCCTGTTAACCCTGCATGCTAAATCCCTAACAGGTAGGGAGGTCCTAGTGGGGCAGAGGTGGAGGATGGCGGTCCTGGTCTGGGACCAGATGTGGATAGGATTGCTTCACAAGACTTACTTTACAGTAAATCTTGTGAAGCAACCACATGTCTCATTACATCACCGCACAATCCTTGCAGAAAGCCAGCCAGCTCCATCAATCTGGTTGCTGTGTTTTGAAGCGCGATAACAGGATTTGGGATTTTTTTAAGCTTACAAAAAGTCGGGGTCCATAACCCAATCACATTATAAGTGAACCCGTGTTAAAATGGGGTACTATTGTATCTTTCTTCAAATTCTGAAACCATACAAATGTACTCACCTCGGATCCAATATCCCATTAAGAAACTGAAATAGCAATTGTGGATCCTAAAGATAATAAAAGAAAGATGCAATCAATCACAACAACATTTCATTTATAGAGCGCCTTTCACGTCGGGAGGACGTCCCAAGGTGCTGGACAATTGGGTCGGGATACGAGCAGGGGGGAAATGGTCAGGGTGAGGGGAGGGAAGGGAGGAATGGGTAGAGAGTCGAGAGGGCAGCTGAAGGCACGGTCGAAGAGAAAGGTCTTGAGACCGGCCTTGAAGGAGGGAAGGGAGGAAGCAAGGTGAAGGCACTGGAGTTCCAGAGCCTAGGGGCTGAGAGGCTGAAGGTCTGGCCACCGATTGTAGGGCGGTTGGGGCGGGGGATGTGGAGCAGACCGGAGCCAGAGGAACGGAGGGTACGGTTGGTAAGTAGGGGGATAGTAGGTCGGAGAGAGCAAAGCCGTGAATGGCCTTGTAGGTGAGGATGAGGATCTTGAATTCGATCCTCTGGGGGATGGGGAGCCAGTGGAGGCGAGCGAGGGTGGGAGTGATGTGGTCTCGAAGCCTGGTGCGGGACAGTACACGAACTGCAGAGTTTTGAATGACCTGCAGCTTGTGGAGGGAGGTGCTGGGAAGGCCGGCGAGGAGAGAGTTCCCATAGTCCAGCCTTGAGGTGATAAAGGCGTGGACCAGAGGGGTGAGGTAGTGCCGTAGTCTGGCGATGTTTCGGAGGTGATGGAAGGCAGTGCCAGTTGTGGCGCGGATATGAGGAAGAAAGGACAGCTCAGGGTCCAACAGAACGCCAAAGTTCTTGACTGGCTTTGAGAGGTGGAGAGTGCAGCCTTGGATGCTGATGCTGTCAGCGCCTGAGGTGCAGAGGCGCTGACGTGAGCCAATCAGGAGGGCCTCAGTTTTGCACACATTGAGCTGAAGAAAGTTGTCTCTCGTCCAGGACTCGATGTCGGACAGGCAGGCTGTCAGGACATCGGTGGTCGTGGAGTTGAGGGTAGAGGAGGAAAGGTAGAGTTGGGTGTCATCCGCATACATGTGGAAGTTAACCCCATGTCTGCGGATGATGTCACCAAGGGGGAGCATATAGAGGGTGAAGAGGAGGGGACCGAGGACAGCCCTGAGGGACACCGCACAAGACAGTGCGGGGGCTGGAGGAAAAGCCGTTTGTGGAAACAAAATGAAGACGGTGGGAGAGTAACCACTCAAGGACAGGGCCTTGAAGGTTGAGGTGGGAGGACAAGCAGTGGAGGAGGACAGCGTGGTCGACCGTATCGAATGCAGCCGATAGGTCGAGGAGAACGAGGAGGCAGAGGGAGCCCTGGTCGCAGATAGTCAAGATGTCAGCTGGGAGGTGACAACTCTTTCAAGGACCTTGGACAGGAAGGGGAGGTTGGAGATGGGCCGGTAGCTTGATAGCTGCGACGCATCAAGGGAGAGTTTTTTCAAAGTGGGAGTGATGGTGGCAGTTTTTAGGGGAATGGGAACAGAGCCAGAGGAGAGGGATGGGTTGATGATGTCTGTGAGAAGTGGGGCAAGGAGGTGGAGCTGAGAGATAAGGAATGGAGTGGGGGTGGGGTCAAGGGAGCAGGTGGTGGGTTTCAGGGACAGGATGAGGTTGGTGACAGAGGGTGGGGAAACGGGTTTGAAGGTGTGTAGGGGAGGATGGTAGGAGTTGGAGTGTGGGAGGGAAGGGGTGGGGGGTGGGTGGAAGTTGGAGGGGGAGTGACCGCGGAGTGGAAATTCCTTTGATTTTGGATTCAAGGAAATCCAGCATTTCCTCGCAGTGAAGGTTGGAAGAGATGACCTGCGCGGGGGACGGAGGAGTCGGGATGTGGTAGAGAACAGAAGCCTGGGGTTGTTCTTCGCCTCCAGGATTATCCTGGAGTAGAAGGACAACTTGGCTAGAGTGGAGCGGTAGGTTTTGAGGAGGTCCAGCCAGATTTGTCGGTGGACCGTTAGGCCAGATTTGAGGCAGATGCGTTCAGCGGCCCGCACCTGGCTCTTCAGTGAGCGGAGGTGGGTGGTGAACCAGGGGGAGGAGAGAGAGTAAGACACAGTACGAGAGGTGATGAGGGCAAGAGTGTCGAGTGTGGAGGAGAGGGTGTTGTGGAGGAGGGTGAGAGCAGAAGAGGGGTCTGTGAGTGGCAGAGTTGATGTGGAGGCAGAAGTTGAGCGAGGAGAGCAGGGAGGAGAAGTCCGAGGAGATGGAGCAGGAGGGGGTGAAGTGCAGGTTGAAGTCGCCCAGGATGATGAGGCGATCAGAGCAGAGGCAGAGAGATGTTAGTAAGGTAGAAATATTGGAGATGAAGGTGGGAGAGGTTTTAGGGGACCGGTCGAGGAGGATTTTGAGTGAGAGAAAGGAGGGGTGGGAGAGGGTGAGATGCTCAAAAGAGGGGAAAGAGCCAGAGGAGTAGGGGGATAGGGCAAGTGGTGTCCTTGAGATAAAGGCTACACCATGGGTCGAGGGATGTGGTGGGAGGTGTAGCCGGGTGGTGTGGCCTCCGTGAGGGGGAAGGTGTTGCCTGGGGTAAGCCAGGTTTCCGTTAAGGCCATGATGTCAACGCTCTCATCAAGGATGAGATCGTTGATGACCAGGGCCTTGTTACAGAGGGAGCGGACGTTTTGTAGTCCGATGTAGAGGGAGCGGTTGACAGAAGGGTCCAGGGAGGGGGGGTCCAGGTTGTGAGGCAGGGGTGGGGGGAATGGGGATGAGAGGTTGGCTCCCTGGGTCTGTGTCCGGGGTGGCTGGCGAGTGTGGTGGGGAATGGGGTAGTCGGTGTGGCTGCTGCTGGTGAGCCCCGCGAAGGATTCCCAAGATGGAACAGAGGGAGGTTGTGGGAGGGTCAAGTGGGGATAGAAGGCGAGGGGACGGAGAGAGAGGAGGACAGAGTGGGAGAGATGCAGAGGGGGGAGGGAGGGAGGGGGTGAGGTGGCTCGGGTCACAACTTTGCAAACTATACATTAAACACAGATAGAAAGAGACAATAGTTAGTTTAGTCACCAGGATTTGTTTTGCATGGTATTCAATGCAAAGCACATGCTGGTGACTGAATGAACCTTTCAGTATTATTGCTGCTACAGGTTCACAATATTTTGCATTTGAATCAACATAGAGCAAAATCGATTTTGTTTTACAATTGTCATTACATTTACAGCTGGAATCCTGAAAAGGCTCTATTGTATATAGACGGATGCCGTTTAACCCTGGACGCCTGGTAAATTGAGCAAAATGCCTGGCCCTGATTCATTTGTATTCTTACCGGTCTTAAATATGCCAGTTGATTAGGACAAAAATACGATTAATACGGTCAAAATGTGTCGCTGGTCGCCGGTGAATGAACTCACTCTGGCCTTCTGTGTGTAGAGCGGCTCCATTCAGCCACAAGAGGTTCAAGGATAGAGATGGGAGGAGTCTTTGGCTGATTGACAACAGACTCCAACCATTCACAACTCACTGGAGTTGCGCTGTCAATCAGTGAGGGGACCGAGGGAATAGGAGGAGTCAACTCACGATTGATTGACAGCTGGAGCCACTCGTGAATGGGTGGAGCCTACAAACATTCACATACAACTGCAAGGCTGTCAATAAACTTGGAGACACCGCTAATTGGTTGCAATGGGAGAGTAGGCATTGCTACCACTCCTCTGCTGTGCTGGGCGGGAAGAGGTAAGAGAACTTTGGTTAACCTCAGATGCCTCTGGAGCCAGACAAAACGGCCGTCCACAATGTGTCCGGCTTCACAGACTTCCACTGCATTTCAAAATCTTGGTGGCGGAAGGGAGAAACAATCTTAAAACATTTGTTTGGTACACTTCTGAATATCTTAAAAGCACACATCATAATGGCAAGTGGCTCAGACTCCACAAAGTAAACTAATGCAACTTGCTTAACTTTGTAAGCAATTTAGATTCAATATATTGTATAATTCAATGTCGGAACAGTTTTCTTATGAATTCAAGTCCTAATTATGAATAGTGCACTGCAATATAGTGACTGCATCAACAATTCACTGAAACTGCAGTAACGTAATGACAAATCTGTTCGCAGAGTGTCACTGAAATTGCATCGTTTGGTGGTGAGGAGAGGGGAAGTAGTGGGGTTTGAAATGATTGTAAAATTCTGTTAAATTTTGTAAAACTCACTTTCAGTATTTCCAGGATAGTTGCGATACTGCTGGAAAATTCCCTAAGTATTAACATTGCAGTCTGTCGTGGATTTATTTCCAGTAATTCCTACAAAGTAAAAGCAATTGTTCGTTAGGAAAACAAATAATTGTTTCACTAGAGTTTAGTATATTTGTATTGATCCCTCTTTAATTACACATATGGCACCTTAACGCAAAACTATCAAACATTTAATTTGTGCATTGGTATACATTGCAAGAACAAAAATTACATTAACATTTTAAATAGAATTAGACTGAAAGCTATGGATGTTCACATGTCCTCCTTGCCTTTCTAAGTAGATGCAGACTTATCCAATGAACAATGAGCTGTGCCAATCCTCATTTGATCCAGGATCCTTAGAGTCACCAACACTTAAAACACTTCAGCCAGTTAGTAACAGGGACTTCCACGGTTTTAAATTAACTAAGTTGTGGAAGATTAATTAACTAGAAAGAGAAAACAATGCTTTTCCATAAGCAATGGATCAATGGCACCAAGCTCAGGGTGCTCCAGGGGATGGTCACTCTTGGTAGCTACCCCAGCCATTTTCATCACAACAACAACAAACAACAAATTACATTTGTGTAGCGCCCTTCATGTCAGGAGGATGTCCCAAGATGCTGGACAGTCAGGGATTTGGAGGCAAGGGAGGGAGCAGGGCAAAGGGACTGTCTGATGGAGTTACGAAGTGTGGGGGCAGAGAGGCTGAAGCCAGAGCCTACTGAGCAGAGAGGTCGATATGGAGTTAGCAGGTCATAGAAGTAGGAAGGAGCAAGGCCATGAAAGGCTTTGAATGCGAGGTCAAGGATTTTAAACTTTATCCTCTGGGGGATGGAGAGCCAGTGGTGCCAGGCAAGGATGGGGGTGATAGAGCCAACAATCTCCCAAATAAAGTTGGTCACTCACTCCATAGCTGTTTGGTGGGACACTGTTGTGTGCAAATGGTTGCTGCATTTCACCCATAAAATACATAGTCAACCCATAATGTATTTTTTATAGGCAACTTTAAAAAGTTAAAATAAAAGACAAGAAATCTCTTACATGAATGTGATTAAATAATTCTTCCTTGAATGAAACACTCTCATCTTTGGTCATCTCCACATTATTTATCACATGATGGATATACTTGTGCACTTGGATCTGTGAACATACACATTATTTATAATGTAAACATTTTGAAGAAAAAGTATTTTGAGCTTCAGACTTTTGTACACGAAAGTGGCCAAGTTAATCCAGTAAAAGTCAATGTGAATTAACAATTACATCAAAAACAACTTGCACATATATAGTGCTCTCCACGCAAGGTAAAATCTCAGAGCGCTTAACAGTGCCAGAGCCTGACTCCAAGCTAGTTGGGGGCAAGGCTAGGTGACCGTAAACACGGTTGACAAAGAAGGTTTTCAAGCGGGACTTGAAAAAAAAGGGAGAGGGGGGCAAGGTGGAGGGATTGAGGGACAGTGAGAGTTATGAAGAAGCCCTTTGTTCAATTCAAATATTTTGAAATGAAGAATTAAAATGAAGTTAACCTTACCTTTCTGATCTCATCATGAATATAACACATCAAGATTTTGCTGTGAAGACGTTTTCTCTCATACACAAATTCACAGATTCGATAGCTAAATACAGCAACATGATCAAACAGAATTTGAAAATTAATTGGGAAAACCAGAGTGGAAAGTTCATATATTTTAATTGAAACCACAATAAAAATATTATTTGTAAGAGCTTCTTCTCCCCAGCATTACATGTAACAACAACTCGCATTTTATAGCGTCCTTCATGAGGGGTAGCATCCCAGAGCACTTGGCAGTGGCGGAGTCTAATAATGAGCCAGGAGAGAGGGAGGTGGAAGATGACTGTAAACCTGATCAGAAAGAAGGGTCTTTAGGTGGGATGTGAAGGTGGGAAGGGGGGGAGCAAGGCAGAGGGATTGAGGGAAAGAGTTTTAGAGCTTAGTGGCTGAAGGCATGGCCACCGATGGTGGAGCTGAGGGGACGAGGGACAGACAGGAGGCTGGAGCCAGCTGAGTGGAAGCAGTGGGGTGTGGGGGGGGGATAAGCAAATCGGATAGGTAGGGAGGTGCGAGGGCATGAAGGGATTTAAAAACAAGTGTGAGGATTTTTCAATCAATCCGTTCGGTATTAGGAGCAAATGGAGCCTGGCAAGGATTTGATGGGGGTACGGAGTTTTGTGTGGGTAAATATCCGGATGGCAATGTTTTGAATTAATTGTATTTTGTGTATGGTGGAGCTGGGGAGACCAGCGAGGAAGACACTGGATAGTGTAGCCAGGAAGTGATGAAGCCGTGGACGAGGGTTTCAACTGCGTTGGTTGTAAGGTACGGACGGAGGTGGGCAATGTGGTGGAGGTGGAATAAAGCGTTCCTGGTCAGAGAACAGATGTGGGGTAGAAAGGAAAGCTGGGGAACAAACCTGATGCCTACGTTGCGCACGGGTTCAGTGAGTCTGAGGAAGAGCTCGGGAAGGTTGAGGAGTTCAGACCCGCAGAAAAGAAGATGTTGATGGGAGCCAAAGAGCATGGCTTTCTTCTTCCCGATATATACAATGCTCTTGCCTTAATTTTCTTTCTATATACTGTATATAGCTAAAATTGTAGAAGTAGTGATCTCCACTCAGAATTATAGCAATGCAACATAACTCAGCTATCACCAATTGTGTATGTTTGGCTAAGTGAAGATTCCCCATAGAAGACTTAATCCCCATATGTGTTCAACAAGAACCAACCATTTATTTAGCATGTGAAGGAGAAATCTCGAAACATGTAATATACAAATGTAAACTATTTTAATTGTCAAGTGCAAGTTGTAAATGCAATGCTATATAAATGCAATTTATTTTTGTTGTAGAAAATAGCTGCACAGAAGGGGACCATTCAGTCCATCATCTCTGTGCCACTCTTACCTGTTTTTCTCAATCACACTTCTCCCCCCCCAATTAATCCCACTATCCAGCTCTTTTCCTCAGGCCCCCTTAAAGCTCTTTAGAGAATGAGGTGAAATAGAAAAGTGAATGGAGAAAAAATAAAACAGATGGGATGTGGTCATGCTCTACTTGCCACTACTCCAGAGGAGAAACAGGAAAAGTCACTGATGGGGAAAGATGAAACATTATATGATTCATGCTCCAATGTCTTTACAGTTTTCTCATTCAGTACTTACAATTGCACCTTTTCAGCCAAAGAAATTAGTTTCTCTTCATCAAAGTAAACAATCCCCCCTGCTTGAAGGAGCTCCAGCAATGCCTGGATGATATGGGAGAAATCGAGTGTTAACATTTTACAAATTTACTGCCATTGAACACATCCTGAAAGATGAGATAACCAACTCACATTCACAAATGGAGCTACTTTTCTCTTCTTCAATTACATTCTGTACTGAAGTTGAATTGCAGTGTAATCTCCCCTCACAAATGTGCTACTTTGCAAGTACTCAAGCTGCAAGTTAAAATGTAACTTAACTAGTAATTCGTAACTCATTCATAACTTTTTAATTAAATAAAATCATTTGATATACAGAGCACCCTGGAAGAGTTGCTGCTTGTCTCTTAGCAGATCAACATCACGGTGCTCACGCTTACATACAAATCTCTTCACAACCTAGCACCTCCCCATCTCTGATCATCCACCTTACTCTTCTGCTCACCCCCTCATAGTCCCTTACTTAACCATGGAGCAGGCATGCTAGTCCAACAGCAGCCACGATGCCACCACCAGTTGGAATGCAAACGTTCTTTAATCCTCATCAGTGGACCTAGACTTAGGTGATGCTATTGCGGGTGATACTATTGTTTCAGCCCAGTGCAGAGTTTTTTTTTAAAAAACTTAGCCAAGTCATTAAAGATGGAGAAATGAAAAAGAGGTCTATATCCCGTCTATAAAATTCACTTTAAAAATTACTTTAAAAGGAAAAAAATTAGTTACATCTTTATTTAGATAGCATTTTTCAAGTTCAAAAGGCTTTATTTAAAAATGCTGTAAATTTGGACCAATGGCTTTGCCATTTTTAATGTGTTTAGTAAAATAAATTTAAGGAAAAGGGAATTGTAAAGTGAATTGAATTACATCCGACTCCTGAGAGCACTCGCTTTGCAAGTGAGAGACCTGAGTTCAATTCCAGGCAGGGCGAAACCTTGGGCAAGTTTCCTTACTCCACACGCCTAATAATAATCCCTCCAAAAAAACAAAACAATAATAAATTGGTCATTTTCAATCTACGACTGTTTGTGGGACATTGCTGTGCGCAATTGGCTGCCGCGTTCGCCCACAAATATACAGTCAATTCACTTTACAGTGTGTTCTGTGAAGCGCTTTGGGACGTCCTCCCGACGTGAAAAGCGCTATATCAAATGCAAGGATTATTATTATTATTATTATTATTATTATTATTATGTTGTACTCACATTTGGAGAAAAATACTGGTAAATATTAAGCCGAAGGTGGGGCTCACAACACTCACCAGGATTTTCACCCAATTGTCTCTAATCCATCTGACAACAGGAAATGGTTGAGGTACAATGCAGCTCTATAGGTGTGCACAAGATGCTGCACAAAAACAGCACCAAGTTTACCAGTCCTCTAACTCTCATTCCTTCCTTGTGGGCAAACAATTGCTTCTACTTTGTCCCTCTCTCGATGCCACATGGAATCTCTTTCTATGTGGAGAAAGCAACTATCTAGGTTGTAGGTTGTTTTCATTCTTTAATGTGTTTAACATAGACAGCATACTTAGCACTTGGTTTACGACTGGATTTAGTTCTACCCATAGGATAGACTGATTATTATTTTGGTAAGAGAAGGTTTATCCAAAATGAGGCCTGATCCTTTTAGAACCTCTTTTTTCTAACAAATGAAAGGTGTGGCTCCCATATTCAAGCTGACTAAATAAGGAGTGGGTGATCATGCTATTCAGTTTGTTTTGACATGTGACAAATAAAACAAGAAGGTAACAAAAAGGAGGAAATGCCAGCCCTATACCAAGTTAGGGCCCGAGGGGATGATGGAGGGGTAGTGTGTAGAAGAAGCCTCCATTTCTTTCTCATGTGAAATCTTTTGCATATCTCTAGAGTTTTCCAAAGTACAGGAATGGTTGGGTTACAAAAGGAAGGTCCTGGTGGTCCCGGGACATCAGCTATTAAGGTTTTGTTGAAGACTTTTGAATTACACACATTGTCTTAACAAGTCATCCTGGATTAAGCTATTCCATCAGTAAAGTGATATATAATACACCATCGACATTGCTATCTTAGGTTTAATAAGGGGAGAAAATAGCATGAATAGCATGATGTATTCACTCTGTATATGGTTGGGTGTATTACTGGAAGCTAGGATTCTTCCCACTCAGCCCCTATTTATCCTGAAAGCCAAAGCTCTATGTGTAGACTGTTCCTCCTTCAAGACGGTCTCAAGACCTTTCTCTTCAACTGTGCCTTCAGCTCCCCTCTCAACTCTCTACCCCCTCCTCGCTCCCTCCCTTCCCTCCCCTCATCCTGACCATTTCCCCCTACTCAGGTCCCGACCCAACTGTCCAGCGCCTTGGGACGTCCTCCCGACGTGAAAGGCGCTTTATAAATGCAACCTTGTTGTTCCTAGTTAGACAAGTAGTGGGAAGTTTGACAAACAGCTCTCAACAGCAAGCTATGAGATATTAGTTGGTTGTACTCCAACAATACCACAGCTAACAATCTGGGATCCCCAAACCTCAGGTTTTACCAATCAGTCTTAAAAACTCTCCAGAATAAGGAAAGCAGGTTGCAGCCTCCTGGGAAGAGAGTGCATATTCCATTCAGATGTAGGGTAATCTCCTATGTAGGTTGGCAAACATGTGTGGAACTCTCATTCTGGTTTGGATATTGTTAAGCCTGGTGATGGGTTTCTATGCTTGTCAGGCTGACCAAAAAATCATCTGTGCATGAGTGACTGGTATGCAAGAACATTCACATGTTTTAGTAGTCCGTAATTCATTGTGTTAAAAGGGAAAGAAAAAAAAGTTGGCATGCTCCATTTAAATGACTGGTGTCAAAGAAACAAAATATTCTTTCTTTTACCTGCTGTCTTTCCTCATGGCGTGAACTGTCCTCTGGATCACACAGGAAATCTAACACCTAGTGAGGAAGCAGAACTGAAGATTACACACCGTATCCAAGAGTAAAAACCTTTGATTGATCAAAAACACTTAGGATCAGTTTTGTTTGTAATCTTACACATTTTGATGATTTATGAAGTGAATAGCCATTTACCATTGCGCTTGGTTGTGCAGAGTTCAAGTGCAATGTGTGTGAGTCTCATTGATTATGTGAAGGTAGTGAAGCACTTTGTGGTGTAACATGGTTTAAGCAAAGAGATCTCCATAAAATATAAGATCAGAAATGTTGGTAAACATTAAGTTCTATCTTCAATTAGAAATCCTCATGTTGAGTTAATTTTAAGAGAAGAATTGTCTGGTTGCTCTGAAGAAACAAAGGCTCACGGTTTGAGCTCCATCAGCAAGTGCAAGTACGTACTGAAGGAGAAGCATCAACCTCAATACAACAACATACTTGTATTTATACAGTACCTTTCACATGAGATGCCTTTTGAGCATTTCACAAAGACGCGATCGACACTGAACAGGGAAGAGAGGAAGAGGGTGAGGTGCCTTTGTTCCTCCGAGTCTGGCCTCCTCCTCGTCCCCCAAGTCCTCCACTCCACCCTCGGCGGCCGTGCCTTCAGCCACTGTGCCCCGAGGCTCTGAAACTGCCTTCCTCACTCCCTTCGTCTCGCTCCCTCTTCCCATTTTCAAGTCTCTGCTGAAGACCTTTCTTTTCGACCGTGCCTTTGGTCACCTTCCTCCCCCTCCCCCTGGCTTGGCCCCAGGATCTGTTACTGTAAAGCGCTCTGAGACGCCGTCCGGCATAGAGGGCGCTATATAAATCCAAGTTGTTGTTGTTATTGTTGTTGACCACAGACGTGGGTTTACGTCGGCAGATTTTAAAGGGAAGTACAGAGGGGTCGAGCCAAAGAAGGGGTAAAGGAAGAAGTTTCAGATGTTACTAACGTATAATCTGAATTCTCGGCCACTGGTGGTGGAATAGAGAGAGGTCGGGAGGTATGCAATGAGCCCGAGTTAGTACAACAGAGGCGGGCGGGTGGGCGGGGGGAATAAAAGAGTGGGATCGGGGCAATTCAGCCAAAGTTTGAAAGAATTGCTATGAGAAGGAAAGTTGAAAGAGGATGATATGAAGTTTCAGGTAGACGCTTTCATTCGAGTGACCCAACATCCACTTCCTACTTTCACCTCACTATCATTCTCACTTTGAGTATTGCCAGGGAATCTTTAACGTCACCTGCCATGCAATGCTTGAACCAACAACCTCAACCCATCATCTTCTGAATAGGAGGCTTGATCCTATCAAGCTGTGCTTTTCACCAGCCTTGGTGGTGGAGGACGGGGTGAGGATGGAGTGCATTGGAGGATAGATGGGGAATTAGAAAAGTTACCAGCTAGAGGGGATGCACCACAGCACAAGTCAGTGGCTTAGGATGGGAGAAAATTGACGGTGAAAGATTCCGCCTTACCCGATCAAATAGTTGTTTGTTTACGAAGAGGGAGCTCTCTGCTCTGGCTAGCTGACGTGCTAGGAAAGTAAAGAGGCAACCAATCTGGGAAGGCGTGAATTCTGTCCCCTCCACCATCACCTAAAAAAGCATAAATACGATGGATTTGAAAAAAAATCAGTTATCATATTTGCAAGATATTTTTGTAACTTTTTTTTTTGAATTCTGTAAATTGATAGTTTAATTTAATCAATTTCAATCAAGCAGTGGAAAGTCAGGTATTTCATAATAGAATCCTTTACAAAATCCTCTGAACGACAATTAATACCAAGTAGTGAAGAAAGGCAGCTCAACACTATAACTGAAACTTCACCTTAAGTAAGATATCAGTGATTCTTTGCTGAAACTCCACAGCTTGTTTGTCCTTTTGTAAATCTTCAAATGTCTGAACAAAAGAAAGAACAGCAGTAACCAACTGTTTGTTAAACACAGTACAAGTCTCAATAGTTCCATTCCAGCTTTCAGAGAGGTAAACAAATAGTACTATAGAGTTGGAAAGTTATAAGGTCTTATATATGGCAGAGGAAAGCCTACATAACTGGGGGATATGAAGTTCCTACATAACAATCCTGATACTTTGCATTTGCTTCACTAACTTATTTTGGACATTAGCCTTTGCACAATTCACTCAGATTCTCTGCATTAATTTCTAACATGTATTGGAGTTTAACTTATGATGATTTGTTTTTGTTGGGGAACACCAAACAACCTCCTTTCCTCCAGTCATCCAGTTCCTCACCTCTCACCCTCCACAGTAGGTAGTGTTTGAATGCAGGCGTCTTGAGAGTACCGACCGTGTCCATTAAAATCAAATTTATTTAAAGTTATCGTTAAAACCTACCTCTGCAACCTCCTCAAACCCTACCAATCTGGCCTCTCCCTCTGCTCAGCTTCATGTCCCCGCTCCGTCGGTCCTACTATCAGCAGCCTGGCTTGCAGCGTATCTGCCGCACTCTCTGGAACTCAATTCCAGAGTCCCTTTGCCTCGCGCCTTCCCTCACTTCCTTCAAGATCCACCTCAAGACCTTCCTCTTTGACTGTGCCATCTCCCACCCCCCCTCACCCCCTGCCCTCTCCCAGACCTCACCCCCAGCTCAGGTGCAGACCCTGGACTGTTCAGCCTCAAGACATCCTCCTGATATGAAAGGTGCTATATAAATGTAAATTTTAAGTGTACTGTATTGTTGCAGAAGTGTTACAGGGTAAAAACACACAACATACATCATAAAGTTCTAAGTCCGACAAAGCATTTACATTCAACATAACGCTGATAGGATCTTACCAGTGCCAGTACATTTAGGAACTCCCTCGTATTACACTTCAGAAGAGTACGAACGTTATGATAAGGTTCTTCGCCTGGCTCTGCATTGTTTGAATGAGCTCTCATCAAACTTTGAAAAACCTAGAATACAATTTTGTTTTATTAAAAATCCAAGCACCATGATGGTTTGTGGCACAGTAACATGTATTAAAAATAATCATCCTATTCCTTATAGAACATGCACTAAAACAAATGGTGATTTCCAGCTACTTTAGAAACTCAGCACATTTCTTGGTGCTCTGCATGCAGCTCTGTGCTGATGTAGCTAATCTAAACTAGAGAAGAAAAAAAACCTTATTTGGGCAATTAAAATTTAGCCTCAACATTCCCGTGAGCTAGTGCTCATTACCCTGAGATCCCTGCTGCAGGGGCACAGGTATGGGCAGCGCAAGAGTGTAAGATTAAGCTGACACACTCACTTTGGTGAGAACATGCAAGTACGGAAACGCAATCAGATCTGAAAGCTTTTAAAGGAAGCAACAACTATGACAACGTGTAATAATAATAATAATCCTTGCATTTGATATAACGCCTTATCCCGTCTTCGAAACGTCTGAAAGCGCTTCACTGTATATTTGGTGTATTCTGTATGTTGCATATCTTAACAGATTTCTCCCACAAATATACAGTCAATTCACTTTACAGTGTATTCTGTGAAGCGCTTTGAGACGACTAGAAGATGTGAAAAGTGCTTTATCAAATGCAAGGATTATTATTATTATATAGATTGAATTCATAAATAAACATGTCATCGTGGTGTAGTTACTTGAGGACAGAATGCACATATTATGCACTATAGTAAGCTGAGGAGATTTCACTTGTAACACTTAAGGCAAATTTCAAATGCAACACATTGGTGAAGTGGTTGTAGTAAATATCTTATTGATCAAGCTCCTACCTCCTTTTTCACTACAAGCACCAGATCTTCAGGGATGTCTCCAAGGGGATAGGCTCTCCCTGATAAGCAGCAGCTATGTTGAAATTATCAGGAGATGTTCAAGAAGAATTGAGGTTATTGCACTCTGCAAATCACGTTTTATAAAATCCTAAAAGGTGTATATTGATAGTGATGCACCACATGTAAATGCAGTTCTGTATGAAATGATATTTAAGCAATCGGTTTACACTGCGCTCCGCAGCAGGGAACACGGCACAAACTGGGCTGAGGCACACAATCGTGATTCACTCTTGAACTCATTTGTCAAACATTTTAAACACAATAATTTTAATAAAGTCGATTCAATTCATGGCCCTTCAGTAACAAATGAAGTAGGACAACAACAAGCAAACAACATTCATATAGTGCTCTTCAAGGGAGTAATGTCTCTCGAAGTGAACAATGGTGTAGCTTGATGCCAAACTGGGGAAAAGGCGAGTAACTGTGAGCACTGTCGAACAGCAAATCATATCTTCAGATTCAATTTGATGACAGGGAAAGAAGGGGCAAGGTGAAGCGACTGAGCCAGGGAATTCTAGAGGATCTTGAAATCGATCCAATCTGCAACAGGTAACCAGGGGAGCCCAGCAAGTAGTGGGGTGATGGGGTGCATAATTTGGTTCGAGTTAGGATACAGGCAGCGGAGTTTTGAATAAACTGGACTTTATGAATGGTGGTGGTGGGAAGCAAGGAGCTGACGAGGAGTGTGTGCTGATGGGACATCCTCTCAACATGAAAGGCACTATATAAATGCAATTTGTTGTTGTCGTTGTACAGTGAATTCAAAGTTATAAATGGTAGTTTACCATGGAAGTGGTACTGATTTCTGGACAGCATCAACTTGACATTAAAGGCTTCTGTAGGTACATCCAGGCTCACCCTAATGATTTACTGTGATAAAACTTGTTCCTAAAAATTGTCACAATATCCATTTCCATAGGGAAATATACCTACCTTATATAGACCAGGACTTTATTTCCAATGGTAACTAGTTCCTCTGCACAAAACAAGAAAAATGTAATGTGAGTATTAGAACCTAGTTTGAAACCAGCTCATCAAATTCATATGATATTGTGTAAACACTTACTACTGTGCAGCTTTCCTGTTTTTAGAATTGAGTCAATTGCCTGAATCATTTCCTATAATGAGAAACGGAATGAGAAACAAATTATATTGTAGTTACTTAGAAATAAAATTCACAAACACTTGACATAAAACAAAATTAACATTGCTGACCATGTAAATAATTACTGTGACAGGTGCTGCTCAAAATGGTGAGAAAACTCAATTTACCTCCAGAGGTGTAACATAATCATTCATCCCCTTATTAAAAATATGAACAAGTACATCATATAGACCATGGGTTCGTGACAGAGAAACAATCTGCAAATAAAATGACTAGAGATTAGGATCCCAGTGATGGGGATTTGATCCCAACAGATAATTTGGTAGAACAGTTACATGGTACAGAGGAATCCCACAGGAAATAACCCGTAATATGTGACTATTTAACGCGCAAAAATGCAAAGCTAATTTTTAAATATACTGTCTCCTTATTTATTTTGAACATGTATGTAATGGAGAAAAAAGGGGTTGAAGATGAGAAGGATTCTAGTTTATTACAACATACCAAGGATTACGTCTATATTTTTAGTTCCGAAATTCAAACCAACAGCAGCATTACAACATGGAGAGTGGTTCCATTTCTTCCTAACACATACCTGATGTATATCTAAAGTTGTAACATCCAGGTGCACTATCAGAGCTTCAATACTATCCAACATCCCTTTATCTTCAAAGTGGACAACCAGGTCTTTAACCATCTGTGGCGTTATCCCATTCAATCGATTACTTAAGATGTGTGGTTCAAGACACTCCAAGAGTACACCAAATGCAACTGCATTGGGAGCAAGTTTGTCGTAAATGCTACCGCAAAGAAAATCTCTGAACAAAGAACAGATATTTCAACAAAAAAACAGATCAGTTTGGACAAAAGAGCTCCCAGCATGAAAACCGCTACATCAAATACAATTATTATTATTATTATTGTTTTAAAGTACAGGCATCTTATCTTGTATTAGTTAGTATTATTTTATACACATTCTCTTCTTTCAGAGAGTAGTAAGGAAAGAGAAAGGCCATCAAACCTTTACTCCCCTAAATGAAAGAGAATGGAGTATAAGGGACTCTTTCCAACTTTCATCTCCTAAAAATTGTTATAGAAACTCATGAGTCACAACTGTGCTTCATATATAACATCACTAATTAGAAATTAAGAGTGGAACTTTTATGCGTCATAAAGCTTATGTTAAGCATCAATATATTGCCTACAAATGCACAGTGACTTCCCTTCACAGCAAAATCCTGTGAAATGCCTTGAGACATTATGACATGCAATTAGGAACTATAGCAAATGCAACAATTATTAATAATAAATAGAACACCTTAGCATGGAACCACTTAGCTACAAACTACAGTTTTCAACAAGGTTTAACTTTTCTTTAGAAAATGAATGCAGTCACATACTTACATTTTGTCAATGAGGATACAAGCCACAACACAAATGGGAATTGCTTTCTGTAAAGATTAATCCGTAATTAAAATAAAAACTTTAAACTTTCACAAAGAATCTAAAAAGGTTCTTTTGCATTCAAAAATATTAAAGTCACGGCCATGTGCAGGATATTTATGGCTGCCTGGAGCTACCTAATAACGGCTATTAGTGACTGGTCTAAACTTTCCAAGAATTCATGAAGTGTGCACAGGTACAGGAAGACCACCATTAGAATGCGCCTGGTTAAGGTGGTTTCGCTTATAATACCATATGTACTGCGGACTCACTGAAAGCCAATGCGCAGAGAGAGAAAGGAAAAGAGAAAGGGTGACTTATATTCTCTCATTACATCAAAAACTTTTACAACAGACAATAAAATTATCAGAACTTTGAATGTACCTGATAGTGTTCTTCCATGACCTGTATTTTCCCGTGTTGAGGACAGCTCTTCAGAGTTGCTTGAATATACTGCAATATTACATCAACCATCTTAAAGAAAAACAAGAGGCTCCTTAACATTTACAAACTGTCAAATTATATATATTTTTTAATTTTCGTAAGGAACGTCAATTTACTCCTTACTATAAGCTCCATTAGTGCATTAATAATATTTTAATATATCATAGCACATTGTAGTAGATAAACAGGCCCTTCAAATAACTTCTGTCATGGACCTGAAACGTTGACCCACTTTCCTTTCTTCATAGATGCTGCCTGACCTGCTGAATAGTGCCAGTGATCTCTGCGTTTGTTTCAGATTTTCAGCATCTGCAGTATTTTGCGTTTTCTTTCCTGTAAATAACTTGATGCTCCCCCACCCCATATGAGTCACCAAATCCAATCCCACTCTCCCGTTTATTTCCCATACCCTTTACTATTATTCCTCTTAAATCTCTTCCTCTTGTCTCCACCTTAAATAATCTGTTGCAAATATTAACAATAATAATGCTTGCATTATTGTATATTTGTCTGAAAATGCAGCAGCCAATTTGAATGCAAATTTATTTTTAGTGCAGAACTGGCCTGCATGCAGGAAGCCATCTAGCCAAATTTGAGCATTTGTGGTGAAACTAGTTATCGGTCCTCGATCCTTGCACTGCATTATAATATTGCTCCACTGTATTTTGTAGATACAAGTATGACAAAATGATGAGAAAAATAGCCCTGTACCTTACCTTATCTTTCACCAATGCCTTCTTCTTCTGATTTTCTCCAGGAAGTCCTTAAAATGTTTATCCAAAAAAAATTATAAACAGAATTGTGGAATGATTGTTATTATCAAAATAAAAATCCTTACATTTGATACAGGCCTTCACGTCAAGAAGACTTCTCAAAGTGCTTCACAAGATTTACTGTAGTGTAATGATTGTATTTTCTAGGCAAAAGTTGTACATGGGACCCAATTAAATAAACACTAGTTATTTTATAATAGAATCTACCTTATTAACAAACCAACAAATGGAGATTGAGAGTTGTATTTGCTAGATAAAATTACAGAAATAGACTGGTTGGTATCTAGCCAGCAGACAGCCACAAAGGTGGCTGAATTCCTCTGCAGATTGAGTCCTTCACTTACTACTTTGTTCCACAACACAAAACAGCCATAACACCGATAGTGTGGATTTACAAGCATATTTAAGTGTTATAAACCGGAAGTCCTGTTTTTTTAAAAAAGTGCAGGCTGTTTTTAGAAACAAAATAGTGGGTTGCAAATCAAATTGGTGGGCCCAACATTTTGTGGGGATGGCAGAGAAATTAATAACAGAATTTTAAGAGTTCAGCAGGACGTGTCTTTTTTTAGTAGCAAATGTAATTCCGTAGTCTTCTTCAGTGTTGAAAAGATATGTAGTGGCATTGTTAAAACCTTAATAACACTCATTTAACTGTTTAAAAGCCCAGTGTAACTTCTGTTCTGTACATTTCTATTGTTCTACTCTGCAAATTCTGCCCCTTTCTAAAAAAAATCTGCATGAAGGTGAACATACTTTTATAGCTTTTATACTTTGCTGCTCACTTTCTCAAAGCTAGGGGAACCAGACACGTAGGTCTGAAAGAGACTCAAATTGCAAAGCATGTTCCTTTCAGAATAGAAGATTTTTCCCCCTCGTATCCATAAATTTAAGTCTGTTCAAGGCTAACCTGGCAGATGCCACAACCAACTTATATCGGACACCAGTAGAGTAGTTGCAATGGTGCATCCCACCATAGCAGTGTACCCTGTGACATGTGCACACCCTATAGAAATATAGAATCTCAAATGCACAAAATGATAAGCAAGCTATAACACTCAACTTCCTTTAATTACTGCACTGGATTGACAATGGTACAGCTAAAACAGACCTTGAGAATGCAAGTAAGGATTAAAAGGCAAGTGGTGAAGGATGGACTAGAAATTACTAGAACCTGCGAGCATGACAATCCTCAGAAGGCAGATGGTGGTTGGAACAGCTTTAACCCCTAACCCCCTTATACCATCGTCTACTGCCTCAAGCAGCTCAACTTTTCTGCATGAGCGAGGCCAGGTATTCATGACTGTGTTGAATATTTGTATGCCTTTGACCCCATGCAAAAAAAGGTACATTGTCTTCTATTCTTTTAACCATTTTGGTTATGGAATCTCTCCCCCTTAATGAATAATTTGGGAGAAATAAAAAAAACTAAATATTTTTTAACCACTGAAAATGTGAAGCTAAACCTCATATTTACAATTGCACATTAAGATAGCATAACCCTCCATCACATATTCAAACAACATGTGAGAGAATACTGGTATTTTCTGTTTTTTTTTCTAAACATAAGCTAGAAAACTGAGCTAAACCCAAGTTGGCTAGAAGAAAGAGACAATGCTTAGACTTCTATCACTGCGAAAACTTTCGGTCTTATTAACAGAAAATATTTTATAAATATGTGGTCAGCCAGGCATCTGACACATACAGAAATCCATTACCATGCTTAAGATTAATAATCCTTGCATCTGATATGGTGCTTTCCACATCTTCTAGACATCTCAAAGCGCTTCACAGAATATACTATAGAGTGAATTGACTCTAAATTTGTGGGCAAAACGCAGCATCCATTTGCGTATAGTAGTGTCCCACAAACAGTCGTGGATTCAGTGACCAAATTATTATTGTTTGAGGTTTTTTTTGAGGGATTATTATCCCCGGAAAAGTGATCTGCCAATCAACTAACAACTGGGTTCCTACTTACTGCTAGGTAGACGGAGGGATGTTGAGCAAGGAAACTTGCCCAACATTTTGCCCTGCCAGGAATCAAACCCAGGTCTCTTGCTGAGCTACAGGACTCCATAAGACTACCCAAACCAAACAGAGTTCCCCACATGCACACTACATGGAAACCATACATATACAGAACGCTCAGTAATAATATTTTTTGCATTTGTTATTGCGCTTCATCACATCATCAAATTGTCTCAAAGCACTTCACTAGTTCTGTAATTTCGTTGGAGAATCTGGAGCATGGCGATAAGATCTCCACGGGTGATAGACAACCGGATGATCAAAAGAAACAAAATTCTCCCTACCGACAGTAGCCTTTGCGGTTCCTTCGTGGAATGCCCATCCTAGTGCCAGTGCCTCTGAAAACTGTTCCTGCTTCACGAGGAAATCTATACGCTGAAAAAAAAATTAAAGTACATGAACATACATACTCTAAAATTCTTTATTCCTTTACAATTGCCTAGTTTTCTACCATTTGCTCATCAAAAGAGAGATTCCAATTTTCCTTCAGTCACAAAATTACATTGACTGGAACAGAGGAGAGCTTTGTACACGTGCAATTAATTGGATGATGTGATAAGGCATCATATTAAATCCAATATTATTACAAACATCACAAGATAAACTAGGCTGACTATTTATAGAACAAACTCAAAGGCAGAATTTTTTTTAATGAGGGAAATGACAACAGTGAGAGTAGAACCGCTCAGTTATTGCTAAAAATAAATTTGAACATAAAAAATATGTAAAGGATTCACAGACTTTACTCACCTCATGCCAGACCTTTAGTGATATCACATGAACAGACTAAAAGAAAAAAATAATACCCATGAACAAAAATGCAACGTTTTTACTGTAAACATGTTCCTTTTTGACAGATTTCCAATTGTACACTTGCAGGAAAGTGGAATAAGAATACTGACCTGCTTCACATCCCTTCTCCAATCTACTCCACCATTGGTGGGTGAGCTGTCACCCATTCTGCGCCACTCTCTGGAACTCCCTGCATTTCACCCCATCTCTTTCCACCATCAAACATGTCAATTCGAACGCGCTTTCTGCCACCTTTCCCCTTCCCTCTTCCTCAGCTCCTACCCTTCCAGCTCAAGCTCACAGTCAATTGTGCAAAGGGTGTTGAGACGTCCTTAAAATTATAGAATCATACTGCACAGAAGGAGGCCATTCAGCCCATCGTATCTCTGTTGACTCTTTGAAAAGAGCTATCCAAATCAATCCCACTCCCCTGCTCTCTCCCCATAGCGCTGCAAACTTGTCCTCCGCAAATAATTATCTACTTCTCTCTTAAAAGTTGTTATCAAATCAGCTTCCACCACCCTTTCAGGCATTGCATTCCAGATCTGAACAACTCGCTGTGTGAAAAAATTTCTCACCACCCCTCTCTTTCTTTTAACAAATATTTTAAATCAGTGTCCTCAAGTTACTGATCCACCCGCCAGTGGAAATAGTTTCTCCTTGTTCACCCTATCGAATCCCCTCATAATTTTGAAAACTTCTATTAAGTCTATAAAGTACAAAGTATGAAGGTTCACCATAACTTCCTGACTTTTGTATTCTATGCGCCTATTTATCGTATCCCGTATGCTTTTTTAACAGCTTTATCTACCTGTCCTGCCACCTTCAAAGATTTACGTATATGAAACCCCAGGTCTCTCTGTTCCTTCACTCCCTTTAAGATTGTACCATCAGCTTATATTGCCTCTCCACATTCTTCCTCCCAAAATACATCACTTCGCATTTCTCCACATTAAACTTCATCTGCCAAGTGTCTGCCCATTTTACCAGTCTGTCTATGTGCATTTGCAGCCTGTTACTATCCTCCTCACTGTTTACTACATTTCCTAGCTTACTATCATCTGCAAACTTGGAAATTGTACTCCCTATATCCAAGTCATTTATGTAGATCAAAACAGCAGTGGTCCCAATACCAAGCTCTGGGGGACACCACTGCACACTTTCCTCCAGTCAGAAAAACAACCGTTCACCACCACTCTCTGCTTTCTGTTTGCCAGCCAGTTCCATGCTGTCACTGTCCCTTTAATACCATGGGCTTCTATTTGGCTTAAAAGTCCTTGTTATCGTCAGATATTTATCTAATTCCCTCTTAAAACGTAATAAAAATTCTGTCTATCACTGTTCCAGCTTGGGTTTTCTAGGTCCTGTGTAAACAAAAAATCTCCTCACGTCTCCAGTTTGGTCTTTTGCTAATTACCTTAAAACACTATCTCGCTACTCAGTCACTAATCAGAAGGCATAATTCTTCCCCTACTCTCCACCTCCACCCCAACCTTTAGCAGGTCTCCTCTCAATCATTTGTTGAAGGGAAAAACAATCCATTATTGAAACACTTCATGATCAGATTGAATCAGAAATGTAACATTGACCCAAACCCTCTGCTCCCACCTCCACTGTTACAATAATTCGTACCTTGGCTCCTAGGAAAACAGTTTGCCCTCCATAAGTCCATATGGATTGATAACACGCTTTCTCTTGGATTTCGCGCTACAAGAAATATAGGAAATAAATAACAGAATTAAAAATCCAGTCTTCTGATTCCTAGTGATAGATCAATGCTCCAGCAGATTCAAAACTTAGGAACTGTAGAGAGTAAACTATAAGTTGGTACTGGTAGAGAATACAACTGTCAAATGTCTTTACATATCATACATTTGAAATTGGCATTTTTTATGAACATAGAAATGTATGTGGTATTGCAAAGGGATCTAAACCACAGAATACCCACAGTGTGCTTCAACAACTGGTTTTGCAAATAAACACTGATTCTCTATTTAAACTTCTGCAAAGCAAGGATAGAATTTGAGTAACGTTGTCCAAATATGATTTTACAGACAGGAGGAGCCAATTACGATGTTATGTCATAGTTATGTTCATTTTTTTTCTGATTCGATCACAGAAACGTCACAACAGCAACAACTTGCACTTATATAGCGCCCTCCACGCAGGGTAGCTTCTGAGAACTCTTACAGTGTAGTATAAAGCAGAAGTCTGGCAGCTCTAGTGTTCTGTCTCAGTGAATTCTGTGGAGGAACAACTCTCTGACCACACTGCTTCAGTATTTGATAGGGATAAATGCTGGTATGATGCACGCTATTGTTCTGAATATCTTTAACATACGCTGAGTCAGGAGGAAGTGAAATGTTCTCTCTGCAGCCTCCTAGCAGGACTGCACTATTTCATTACCTAGAGGGTAATCAATCACTGACAGGTTGTCAGGAAAGGTGGTTGAGACCAGGACACTGGCAGGTGATCAGATTATTATCATCATCACTAATTTCATCTCTCAAACCAATGGATAAATCAATAATCTTACTTTAAAGAGCATTATCTGACTGCACATGGTTAAATAAAACAGATGCAGATAAAAGAGATAAGTGTTGGGGGCTTGTCATGACAGTATTTATTCTGAATAAATGTGGAGACTTTTTAATATGCTTCCTCTGTCTCCATAAAAGTCACTCTTAACTATTTTGGGGGAGGACAAAACAATGAGATGTGCAGAATTGGTATCTAATCATTTCTCCTTTTTTTCCAGGGGAACGAATTTGAATGGCAATTTCAAAAGCAAGTTAATAAAGAAACGTAGAACAAAAATGTAGTTTAACAATGTTGCATTAAACATCTCTTTGGAAAGTACATTTGTAAAAAGTAAACATACCATTGTCGGACTTATAGTCTGCTTGCTTTCCGATGAATCAAAGTAACTACAGCTCCGAACAAGGTGTACATCTGCTAAACTGTGAGAATCCAGTTCTTCACAACTTTCCCGATCGATGACATGAAGCTTATCCAACCCATCTTGTAGCAACAGGGTTCGTGAATTCACCCACTGTTATCAAACAAATAAGGTGTACAGTTACAATAAGCTCAATTAACTTTTTAAATTCATTTGGCTTCTCTCCTGAATTCTCTAAGAGAAACCGAGAGAGAAACACAAGGTTCTAACACATCAGCTCATCAGGTCCAAATTCAACTCAAAAGGAGCTTTGTATGTTTTACAAATGTCGCTGAAATAATGAAGATGACTATATTGAATGGAGGTGGTGGAGGATATGATTGGCGAACTGGTCATAAAACAGGAATATAACTAAGCATTGGAAAAAAAAGAATTGGATGGCTCCAATTTGGTAAGAAACTAGATAATAATAATAATAATAATCCTTGCATTTGATATAGCGCTTTTCACGTCGGGAGGACGTCCCAAAGCGCTTCACAGAACACACTGTAAAGTGAATTGACTGTATATCTGTGGGCGAACGCGGCAGCCAATTGCGCACAGCAATGTCCCACAAACAGTCGTAGATTGAAAATGACCAATTTATTATTGTTTTTGGTTTTGGAGGGATTATTATTAGGCGTGTGGAGTAAGGAAACTTGCCCAAGATTTCGCCCTGCCTGGAATTGAACTCAGGTCTTTCACTTGCAAAGTGAGTGCTCTAACCACTGAGCTACAGGACTCCACGATAGTGTTTGGAGGTCCAAAATTGACCATCCTTCTCAGCATAGAGCACTGGTTGGGAAAATCATCGAGATGCTCCATGCAGCTCTGATAATCAACAGTGATTTTTATCATGATTCAGCAGTTAGTCACACAGTGCAAACTACGCATCAACTACAGAATTGATACCAGCCACAGAACAAATACTTAGAAATTATCCAACTAATATTTCCTGCAAACAAGGCTCTTCAAAAAAAGGACTTTAAGTTAACAAGGAATTAAGTGGCCTATGAATGACGTGGAGGTACACCGTCACTACATATCTCACAACAGAAATGTTATATTAAGCAGAAGATCACCATTTCAAAAATACCTATGCTATGTTTAAGCAACAAAATGTTTTCAGATGTTTGGCTAGTGGCATTTGTCACGCAGACATTCAGGTAATTGCTGAGCTGCTATCACAATGTTGAACATAACAAACTTAGTTTGAAACTGAAGTCACCCAGGTTCTGAGAAGGAAAATCATGCCCTTACCTTGAGATTTATTATTTCATACTGAAGATCGATTTCCATCAGGCTGGCAAATTCGATCTGATCACCTGCACAGTTTAGCTGCAAAATAGCATAATGCACTATTCAGAACATGAACACACGAGTTACATAAGAACACTGAGAACTTTTAACACTGCTTAAGTTAATTTATATTATATTGTTGTTAACAATAAAAAAAATGTTTGCATTTGATATAGTGCATTTCATGTCAGGAGGATGTCCCAAGCTGCTTCACAGGATATAATGTAAAGTGGAATAGCTATTTTGCGGGCAAACCATACACCAATGTCCCACAAACATCAATGACCAATTTTATTTGGGGGATTGTTGGCCAGGAGACTGGGAGAAACTCCCTTTTCTTTTCGAGTAGCGCCATGGGATCTTTAATGTCCACCTGAACAGGCAGGCGAGGCCTCGGTTTACCATCTACCTAAAGGAACGGCACTTCCAAAATTGCAGCACAGCCCAGCACTGCAACAGGGTGACAGCCTAGACAACGTGAGTTCCAAGCTCTAACGCGGGGCTTGAACCCACAACCTCTGACTCGGAGGCGAGACTGTTACCGACCCAGCCTTGGGCCATCCTCCCTCATGAAAGGCACTATACAAATGCGATTTGTTGTTGAGCCAGACTTATACACATACACCCTTTAGCTATTCCTCTCCCATTTAGGGCCATTATCAAAGTAACAAATTAAATGCTGTGTTTGCCTTCAAAAACATTCAATATTATATACATTTTATTCTTCATATCCAGTTAACCCTTTTTTGATTGTTAATTTCAGGTTTGATCTGCTTACAATTATGGTGGGCTTAAAGTTGTTACTTTAGCTATTTGAAAAGAAAATAAAATTTTGCTACATCAAAATAATAGTCTTATTCCCTGTTATCCTGTTACTTACATGAAAAAAAATGATTTTGGATCCTCTACAGAAAGCCAGAACTGGGTCCACACGTTCTTGCGTCCAGACAAATTGCCAAGCTAACACAGGTACACTACTTGGCTGTGCCTAATATGAAAGACATGTGCATCAGTCACAATGTTCAGTAAACTTACATAGATGGGGGGAGGAGGGCATGTATTGCTGAAACTTAATGAACAATCAATCCGAATAACATGCAAGTAAAAAGAAAACGTCACTTGAGGTCATTGATCACCCATCCCATTTCTCCACCTTTCACCCATTCAAAACTCTAAGGGTATAGGTTGGATATAACATGTCATTTATACCAGATGACAAAAAGACAGTTCAATCTACCCCTGCTATCTCTTTGGCTGTTATCACTCGGGAGGGGGGTGAAGGAAATTGGGTAGACAACCTACATTTACAGCATGGTTTAAATAAGCATCACCAGATAAAAGGGAGCTATATTTGTAGCAAGCAATTGTTCATCTTCTAACAATTCCTATTTGTCAGGCACCAGTTCCCAATTTCTACTTCTCAACCACGTCTGAATGGACCACACTCCTGATCTCTGACAGCCAATTGTCTTGATACAAGAAAGCAGTTACTCCCTCGCTCACATCAACTTTGTTTTCTCAACTATAGCTCTCCCCGTATTAAATGTGAAAAGAACATGTTCATCCATTAGAATGGATAAAAAAACTTAGATCCCAATAACTATAGACCAGGATCCTTTCTGTAAGGATTCTTTTTCTGGACTTTCCCTCAAGCATTAAATCCTCTGACAGATTTACTGAGGCTGACAAGTCTCCTAGATGCATCTCAAATGTAATCACCACTTTCACTGCCCAGTTGCTTGCTTGTAGGTATCTAAATACGCTGCTTATTAAACAGCTATAATGTCCATGTCTAACTCAAAAATACTAAACAAACAATATAATTTGTTAAAAATCCATTGTATAATGCTACTATACTAGAAGGTATTAAATAATAAAATGCTATTTGCTATTATTGTAGCAACAGACATTAAAATATTCTCAGGTTAAATACTTGAGCAAGCCTGTGTCTGCATTTTTAAAAAAACTGAACAAATATCTGCTTCAGTGACCAGCAAAGCCTTAGAATATGCAACTTTAAGATAAAGAACATAGTTTTTCTATTGGAAACTGTAAAAATGTACATGAAACTGTCAAATCTTAGGCTTCTGATCCACAATGAACCACTTACCAGTGCACATAGCACCATTTGTCCCCTTGTAGTTAATGGTTTTGGAAATTGTTGTGTCTTTTAGTTTGTATTTCATGAGTTCAAGAGCAGTCTATTATCCTTGTGAGTAAATAAAGCTCAACCAGATAAAAGATCCAAAATCTTAGAACAAAGCACACAATCCAAATTTGATTTACCTTTCCATATGGTGATCTGTACAAGATATTAAATGAAGGCTTTAGACCCACCACAAGCAGCTAAGGAAAAACAAATGGAAACAATCTGTAATGACATAAATCACAGAACTTTGCAACTTGTGAAAATTGAGACAACAAAATAACAGTTTTAAATGGTTCTGTGTGCTCCAAATTCAAGCAAAACCCCTTTTATTGCACAGCATCACTGGTCTTTTTTTTTTAAAGAAGTGTTCGTCTTTTTCTTGCAAAAAAACTGCATAATCGTGACAATGTTAGGAAGAGGTATAAATTAATTTATAAATTAACGGGACTTGAAGGAGTAAAGAGAGGGAGTAAGGTGGAGGGATTGCGGGATAGAGTTCCAGAGTGGGGGACAGGGATGCTGAATGCCCGACCACCAAGTTGGGGCAGGAAGTGCGTGGGACCTGAAGCAGGCAGGTGGAGGGAGCGAACAAGCTGATATGAGGTTAGGAAGTTGGAGAGGAAGAGGGGAGCAAGACCGTGGAGGGCTCTGAAGGTGAGGGCAAGGATTCTGCACTCGATTTTCTGAGGGATGGTGAGCCAGTGAAGCCGGGAAAGAACGGGGGTAAACTCAAAGCCCCATGTCGGTGCATAGCCTATGCTGACAATCCAGTCCTGGGTGGAGTGTTGCATTGTTAGAGATGCCATCCTTGGATGAGACATTCTTGGTAAACTTTGAAACTATTCTTGCCAAATAATAAATAATGAGATAATTAAACTTTTCTACCTTAGTGAGTGAGACCATGGCAAATAGACAGTACTGGGCCACTGGATGAGCCATAAATTCGTCACAGATCTGCAGAGGCTCAATACAGCAAACTTCACTTTTTGTACCACTGAAGAGGCAGCGTGATTCGCACGTTTTAGTTCCAATGGCTCTTCTAAGAAATATATATTAAAAATTACTGAATATAAAGCAATGAAATACTAATGTCAAAGTTGAACTGCTTTAATATCTTTTACTTTACTCTGAGCAGATTTGATTCAACATGATGATCAGGCCACCAAATAAACCACATACTTCAGCAAGACAAAACAGGTGTTTCAATCCTTCAGATTTTTGGCCCCTCTAATAACATCACCCTCCACATTTAATATGTACTAAAAAGACACATCAATCAAGATAAATATATCAGTTGAGTATTTTAGATTTATTCTACCTGAAAAGTGCAAAGTTGCCATTAACCTTTCTTTTATAACTTCAAAGCCACCCATTGTTTTTGCCTAATGATGATAAGTCAGCACGAGTCATGACCAGCACCAACAGAAAATTGCAGAAATATTTGCCAGAAACACCAACGTAGGCCGGAGATCCACCAAAAAACAGCATTGCTCACCAAGATTGCTAGAGTCCTGACTGCGGGGCAACAGGGGGTCACCACCTCCTGCCTCTTGGGGCTCACCATCGCACACAGACACACTCGCACAGAGAAAGGGAGACACACTCACACACACAGACAAGACACAAAGAGACAGAGAGATACACATACATTCACAGACACAGAGATACACACACACATATATATATATATATATATATATAGACAGAGAGAGATACACACAAACATTCATACAGAGGAGAGAGTCACACACAGATAATCTCAACAATGGGGCCTCGGAGTGGAGCAAAGTCCATTTGCCACTAATGCCGCACTGTGCAAGCACACCCGGAGCCTCCCCGTCCAGTGACTTTGGGTAAACAACTGCACAGAGGCCTGAATGCCGCGGAAACTTAATTTTTTAAATTTTTTTTTACAGATCTGCGGGGCGGGGGCTGCGGGGCGGGGGCTGCGGGGCGGGGGCTGCGGGGCGGGGTGGGGGTCTGTGGCGGATTTCATGGAAAAATTGCATCCGCAATTTTCTGTTGGCCCTGAGCATGACTCAGTTGCTGCACTCTCACATCTAAGTCAGAAGTTTGTGGCTTCAAGTCCTAGGTGCGGTCTTTAATTTCATAATCCAGAAAGATACTCCAATGAAATGCTGGGGGACTGTTGCATTGTCAGCATGTGTGTGTGTGCGTGTGTGTGTATATCTCTGTGTCTGTCTATTGGATAAGACCTTAAACAGAGATCTTTTCTGTATTTTCAGGTCCATGTTAAATCATGGCACTATTTGAAAAGAAAAGGGAATTTTCTCTGTATTCTGGCCAACAATCTTCAATATAAAAAACTGGTAAATCACAATCCAGCTGTTTGTAAGACAGTGCCATATACAAATTGGCTGTTTTGTACAACTAAAACACAAGTTTCTAAACTTTAGAGAAAAACCCTGAAGCATTTTGAGACATTTTAAAAGCAAAAGTTATTATTTACATCTCATTTTTGCTTCACTGGAGTCTCACAACAGGCCTGACTACACTTCCATTCACAACAATATTCAGCCTCGACGTTGAAAGTCAAAATATTTAGCAAATTTTTTATCCAATATATTGAGTTTTGATGTTTTTATGACAAATATTTTTCTTTGACATCCTCAACAGCTCTATGAACTGAATTAAGTTTTCAGTTTTACAGAATTAAAACTGCTGTATGTATCATTCATTGCCTTGATGAATTGTACTTCCTTTTACCTACTTGAAATGAAGCTCAAACACATTGCTGCTGCTATCATTGCACACAGCCAATGTTGGTTCGACCGTAAACTATGGAGTAAAAACCAAGCAAATCATTACTTGACACATTCTCAGTCACTCTCTTTTCAAACCTAGTGATTTTTTTAAAAAATGGATTAAAAGTTTTTGCATGTATAGAGGACAAGTTAGCTGGGAGGAAGATTTCACCCAAACATTGCAAACACCAACAACAAAATTAGAATTAAATTGATAGTACTTCAATCATAAAACCCATACAGGGGCACAGAGCAGATAATCTCTTCCAGTTTTTTGGCAGGAGAAAATACTCTTCAGTGCAATTACACAACACTGCATGCAAAATGTGGCATAATTTTAACAGTAAGTACCACAAAATGAATGTCACACACAATGTGATCATATTGTATTATTTTTCATGTGTTCTTTCTCCTCCCTCAAATTGTCCTGCTTTGCCTTCCCCTGCCCACGAGTTTTCCAAAGAAATATCATTTACCTTGATACTTAAAACAGCAGAACCAGGAGGATGAGCATCTGTAATGGTGCGGAGAAGTTTGCCAGTTCCACTATCCCACACAATGATCTGCAATAGAGACAACAGTCATACATTTCAAACAGTTGCGTTTAGGTGTAATACTAGGATAGCCAGGTAACACAGAACAGTGTGACATGCAGTGTCTGAAAACTTCTGTTAAGAGAAAGTCTACAGAAATGCTGTACAAAAATATACTTTTGAGAAAGTAAATAAAGCCACAGTGAGAGAGTTGATGAAATTGCCCATTCACAAACTACACAATTGAAAATTGGTGGGTAAAGCCAGCCCCGTTGGTGTAGTGGATGAAGCTGCAACGTATGGATGAGAAGTTGGCTGATATGATGCCAGGAATGTGCTGCATTTGCTGGTCTCAGCCACTTGGAGCAGTTAAACTTGATCCAATCTTCCCATGATAAGGGAGGGGAAAACAGTCCTGTCCCTCTACTGCACCATCTACTGGTTGTTCATGTGTTTGGCAGCTGTGTGGGGAGAGGCTGTGATGCCCTCTGCAGTCCAGTTTCCTGCTGATACTCACTGATAAAGCTCACGTGATTTTTTTTGATCAACCAAGTGTCTGATGCACCCAAAATCCATTAATATAATAATAATAATAATAATCCTTGCAGTTGATATAGTGCTTTTCAAGTCTTCTAAACGTCTCAAAGCGCTTCACAGAATATGCTGTAAAGTGAATTGACCGTATATTTGTGGGCGAAACACGGCAGCCAATTGCGCACAGCAATGTCCCACAAACAGTCGTGGATTGAAAATGACCAATTTATTATTAGTTTGTTTTTTGGAGGGATTATTATTAGGGATTATTATTAGGGAGGTCAGCTACCATTACCATGCTTAAGAGGATCCAAACCAGACAGATGGAGTTCACACAAGTTAACCACCTACACATGGAAACTTTCCTGTGCCTGGAATGGAGTGTGGACTTTCTCCTCGAGAGATGCACCCTGCTTACCTAATTCCAGAGATTATCAAGTGCAGGTTGGCAAGACTTAAGGCTTAAGGTCTTTGAGTGCGCGTAAGGATACTCCTGGAATTACACCAGCTAAAGCCGCAAAGCTTGTCCAGCTAAGACCACCTTACCCTTTGGGGTAGAGTTAATGGGAGCTGAGTGAGAAGAATCCCTGCTCTCAGTACCTGGTCTACCCACTCCAAGACTTGTCGATAAACCAGACTGACTGTTTCATCTTTGGCAGTGCCCTGGAGTACTGTGGACCTGCCCAGTTGGCAGGGGAACTGAACTATAGAGACCAGCAAAGAGAGTTGACTGTTTCGTTATCCTGTTGTGAGCACATTACCATGGAGGGAGGTCAGCTACAGGGAGATCCCACTTAACTTCCTGTACCCAGGAGGATATCTCAACAATGACCATTTGAACAGAGTAACAGAGGGCAGCCAGTGTCCAAAGAAACTACACACCAGCAAGAGGTGCTCAGACTAAGGAGCCGAGAGATACTGGAGAGAAAAATTAGAAAAAAATTGGAAACAATTAATTTACACAAAAAATTAAGTTAGTGAGGATACTACAATCAATCTCAGTCTGTATCACTGGCCTTTGTGGGGAGGATGGGAAGATAACTAGCTTGGGTGACTGCACTGACTGCAATCACTATCCAGTGGAGGGGAGGACAAGTTTGAATGGCTATGGGGAGAGAGCGGCGTTGAATTGGATAGCTTTTTTCAAAGAGCCGGCAGACACGATGGGCCAAATGGCCTCCTTCTGTGCTGTATAATTCTATGATTCTGATGGAAAGTGTATACATATGAAATGAATTTAACTGATCTTCTCTTCTGCGCCCAACTCATATTCAAATACTGCACCAGTCTCGGTCAATAGATCATGAATTATTACCTGGGTGAAATACTATTCAGCTGCCAGTGCCTGCGTGGATGACCGTTTGATTCACATAATTTAAATTTGATAAAAATGCAAAGGTATGCAGAAATGTTTATTTTTACCTGTCCCCTCGCAAATCCACAAAGTAAACGAGTGCAGTCATTGTTAAAAGTAAGTGCTGTAATGGCTCCATACTGGGCACCATGTGCAGTACTGCCCAAGCATAGTTTCAAAGCTTGTTTTGGATCTAAATAAGTTAAAATGTGCATTAATTAGATCAATATTTGACACATGAAATGCCATTTAACTCATTCACAAAGGAAGTGGAAGCGCACCCACTTTGCAGTAGCATTGAATTGAATGCATTGAAGTACAACCTTGTTGGAAAGTGATTTATGGTGACAAACTGAAATGCACCAATGCTTCTTTGCTTAAATTGCCAGAGGGGGAGGTTAGAAAGTAAGGACGTATTTATACAGAACTTTCTCCTGGGGTTACGACAGATTGGATAGATTTGCCCAGTCTGAGGAAGGAGGGGGTACTTGGGGTGAAGGCATTTAACGTTCCATGTTTTTAAAAGTTCTATTTCTATCATAGGCATGTGCGCACGCACTCATGACGACAATTTAACTGCGATGAAACCCAAATTACTGTTTCAAGCTAAACACACATAATAGTTTGCAGTCTTTCTGGATTAGGATATTAGCAGAATGTGAACATATTTTTTCAGACATCAGGGGGATTTGAGAGGAAGTATTCCATGAGATTCAGATTAAACTAAATTACATTAAAAATGCATTATTTTACCTCTATTAACTCTAACATATTCACATGCACATATCAGCTTACTGAACTACATTACACAGAAGATAAAGATCAATGATCATCCAATTGAACTTACCAAAGATGAGAATCAAGCCATGCAGTGTTCCTATTGCTATGAGATCAGACACAGCCTGGGAGGAAAAGCAATGCAGAATGCACTAGTTATCCATTTACAAGAGACAGACATCAATGTTTTGATCCAAATGCACACAAATACAGTAAAGAATTCTCAAAGAAACATTTCAACTATTGGCCCTGCATTGGGCAAACTGGATGGATCTACAAGTGGGCAGGTTTGCCTCTGGATCAGACAAAAGAGAGTATGAAGTGGGTGCAATGGGGCTTGGCATCAGCTCGTCAAAGGAAAGTTTAAGCATTTCCTGTGACACTGGAGGCCTGTTGGGTTGGTGCTGCTGCCGGGTAACAGCCTCGAATGTTTCCACTGGTACATGACATTATTTACAGTGGGGATCATGAGGCATTATAAGAAAATCTTCAGCTCTGTTAAACTCTGCAATCTACGTTAGTTCAATTAGAAATTGATTTCTAATCAATTATTAGATTAATTGATTCAAAAAGGGATCAGGGACTTTTATTTTGCAGAAAAATGACTAGAGTAAGAAAAACAAGTAATATCTCTCTCTTCCTACACCTGCTGCTTGTTATTAAGAATTTTAAGGTTAAGAATTTTCAACTACATTTCTGTTGTTATCTTAGCAATTCCAATGAGTTCAGTATCCTGCAAATGAATTATGGTCACTGTTGATTGTTTTGCATGAATACACTAGAAAAAGAGTTACTTCTGTGAGTAACTGCTGCATTTGAGCAAGTATGTGGTACAGTGTAGACCTATCAGGCTTTTCTTATGATTCCATTAAAAACAAAACAGTCTGCAAATATATATATATAATATGTAAAAAAATTCCAAATACACATCTTCTTTAATTAAAAGAAAACTATTTTACCATTGCAGTCGGTGTACCTGCATCAACTCTATCCTGTAAAAGACCAAATGGACAAAATCTAAAATTATCACCATTTAAAAATAAACACGTGGAGTGGTAATTGAAATCAGTACAGAATGCTGGAACGTTGGCATGGAAGTGGCCATAAGCCATGATAGTGTTGCGAAAACTATGTCAAATACATTATCAACTTCATTACAGGGTTAGTGACGATTTTTTCCTCACTCCTCCCCACATACAATGGTTACTTTGGAAAAAAAAGATAATTACACCAAACCACTTGCCAGTAAGTAAATTTTCCGGTAAGCTGCACACCCTGTCATATTGTAAATACTGCACTGCAATGGAGTGGAAAGTGGAAAGGGTATTGTAGTGTCAAAACCACATTTTGTGCTCCTGTTAAAATTAACAATACTGTGAAGACATTTGCACCTGACCTCCATAATTTCCATAGATTATAGTTTTGGGGATGGGTCATGTATGAAAGGTGCTTGAAAGTTCCTAAACCAATATCCATAGAGTACGAGTTCACTGGGCATAATTGTGCACAGTTTGGCAATCTCAACAGTATAGTCCAGCTAATGTGGAAAGTGGAAACATTAGTTCACTAGGAACACAATTCCACCCTTGTGATTAAGTCTGATTTGCTGGAGAAGGGTGCACGCTGAAAATTATTTTCAGAATCCACTACATTAGGGTATTTAATATCAACAGTGAGTGTTAAGAGTGAATTAAATATTTAATTTTCCAACCAGATATTGGGATGATTAAGATGCGGCAGGATAACTTTACTTTGAAAGCAGATTACATTGGAGCAGAGTTCCCACAGGCCCTTTTGACCAGCGTTTGGTTTCCCTAGTAAGGAATTTAGTTACAAGTCACTCCATGTTAGATTGCATTGCTCACTTTGTTAAGCACAAAAATTCAAAGCAGCAAAATCATTTTGTAGGTCAAGAACAAACACTCTAGTGTCTAGTTAGAAAATAACTAAAATCGAAAGGTTTTTCAGCATTGTATGGTGTATTGGTTGAACATGCCTGCAAAAAAGAAATGCACAAGACAAAGTCACTTACAGCTGCTGATGTGATTTGTGCAGACAAACCTTTGAGAATAATGTGGTGTAGGACTGACCCTTGTGCAACTGGAAGCAACTGTGGATCTTTACACCTGTAGTCAAACAAGACCCGGATCAGCAATTTGTTTTAAACTTAGAAACGATTAGACAAAAGCAGATTTAGTCCTCTTCAATACAGGCTGTTGGGCTGGCAAGGTATGCAACACATGTATTTAGATGCAGTAAATTTCTAAATCATCAAAACAAATTACATATCAGTTGAATGCTGCCTTGCTTCTAATGCTAGTGTTCTGTTGATTCGTGCTAACAAGAAGTGTGATACACATGGCATCCAGTGCTGACGATCCTTTCGGCAATCGGGAGCCAGTCGGGCTTGGCTAGAACTGGTGTGATGGGGGTACTAAGTTTAGTGCAGGTGAGTATGCAGGCGGCGGAGTTTTGGATCAGCTGGATTTTGTGAATAGTGGAGCTGGGGAGGCCAGCGAGGAAGGAATTTGAATTGTCGAACCGTGAGGAGACAGACCCATGGACAAGTGTTTTGGCTGCGTCTAGGGTAAGATACAGTCGGCAGCGGGCAATGTGGCAGAGTGGAGGAAGACAGTCCTGGTCAGGGACCAGACGTGGGTAGGAAGGTCAGCTGTGGGCCGAATCTGACGTCTAGATGCAGTGAGTCTGAGGGATAGGCCAGGGAGGTTGAGGTCAGAACTCTAGGAAAGAAGACATTGACAGGAACCAAGGAGTATGGTTTCCGTCTTGTCAACATTGAGTTGCAGGATGTTTGCATCCAGGCCTTGATGTCTGCCATTCAAGGATACTGGAGGAGGCAAAGTAGTTTTGTGTGTCATCCGCATACATTTGGAAGTTTATCCCATGTCTACGGATGACATCAACAAGAGGGAGCATGTAGATGAGGAAAAGAAGAGGGCCAAGGATGGAGCCCTGGGATAACCCGCAGGTAACCAGGCAGGATCCGGAGGAGAAACCATTTGCCGAGATGAAGTGGATGTTGTTGGTTAAGCAGGACTTAAGTTATGCATTTATTTAGCGTCCTCCATTCCGGGTGATGTCTCAGAACACTTAACAATGGTGGAGCCCAGGGCTGAGCCGGGTAGGGGGAAGATGACCTTAGGTGCGGTCAAAGAGGAAGGTCTTCAGGCGCACCCTGAAGATGGGGAACAAGGGTGTGAGGCGTAGAGGTTGAGGGAGGAAGTTCCAAAGTTTCAAGGCATAGTGGCTGAAGGCACAGAACTTCGGAATTCCAGGACTTTAGCAAGGAAGGGCGGGTTGGAAATGGGATAGTAGTATGAGAGGTTAGAGGGATCGAGGGTGGTTTTTTTTGAGGAGGGGTGCGATAATAGCGATTATCAGGGGGAGTGGAACAGAGCCCAAGGAGAGAGACTGATTGACTGTGTCAGCCAGCCGGGGGGAGAGGAGGAGGAATTGAGTGACCAGCAGCTTGGTGAGAAGAGGGTCAAGGCAGCAGGTGGTGAACTTCATACGGTGGTGGTGAACATACAATTGTGTACATGTGAATGACAATTATTTGGAGTCCCATCTCGGTTTATGGAAGGTGTGACCTGGAATCTAATTTGTGAATACGTGTTTGTACATCCAGTGATTGGAATCCACCTTGATTAGTTTGCAGAGAGGTAAGCAACTGCTGATCAAGCTCTGTACCTCCAACTAGTAGAACCATCGCTCAATGGGAACAGACGTGTGCCTGAGCCTCGGACAGGAAGATGGTGGCTCCTGGTATCTGCCATTCATCTAGTGAGGACTCAAACCTATGCTTTTCAGATGTCAAATGATCAAATAGTGATCATCTTCCGGGGGAGAGTGAGGGTTGGGAAGGAGAAGATAAATGGGATCTCCATGGAACTGAACTGATTCCAAGTTACATGTTTGACAATAGAAAAGTCAGAATCGAGCCAACCCTCTTTGGCAGTCTAGGTTGTTCCAGTTCCTGATCCAGGTGGGTCCGCAGTATTCTAGAGCACTGCTGATGACAGTACAGCCAGCCTGGCTCATTAGCAGGACTTAGAAGGGCAAAAGAGTCTTGGGTAGGGACTCTTCCCACTCTGATCCCATTAACCCTGCAAGCCAAAGGCCTAATGGGTAGGGTGGTACCAGCTGGACAACCAGCGGGAAAGCATTCCAGTGCTTTTAATGGCAAGCTATGTGGTGCTAGCTTGTTAGACTCTAGTAGTACCCCCAATGGATACTCTTGGGTCCCCAAACTTTGGCTTTTGCCAACCTGCGCCTAATGCTTTCCGGAATTAGGTAAGCAGGATGCATCCCTCCAGGGAGAGAGTGCACATTCCGTTCCAACAATCCATCGCTAGGATGTCCATGTGTAGATGTGATGCATGGAAGTCTCAGTTTGGAAATCTTGGTTTTGTTTGGATACTCTTAAGCATGGTAATGGGTTTCTGTATGTTCAAGATGACCTCCACAAAAATGGCCACTAAACCCCAAGATCAGCAAAGGAGAACATACATCCTAGTATTTAAAATGTTAGTTTGTTTGAAATTGTTCTCATTTTCCTTTTGGATTTGAACAATAGGTGACATTTAATTAGGATGAGTTATCTGCACAAATCATGGTGGAAGATTCGAAAAAGTTATGCTCTTAACATCAAATAATACAAATATTTCACAAAACACACGGAATCAGCATTGAAATCATTAGATGTTTTATGAGTGGAAAGACTCACCAATTAGTTGGTTTCAACAGATCAACACTAGCCATTGCAATATCAGTGGTTGCGTTGTCCACAGGCAACCCAATAAAAGCTTCTTCCGAAAGCAAAGGATCAACCACATTTTCAGACTCAATGCCCTGTTAACACATACACACTATTTATTACACAGTGGCCAACACTCAAGCTAACTTGAGCTTCACGTGGATCTTCCAAGCCTGACGTGCAGCTCTTTTAATATGCCATTTGGCCATGGTTATATCGCTTCATTTAAGCTAAAGTAAACTTTGAACAATGCAATAAGCCTGGAATAAGTACAAGTTTAAATAAATAGACTTTTGTCCTTCTGCAGCTCCGTGTTCAGCCCTCTTGTTATTTTTCTGGTTCTTATGCAAACCTAGAATCATAGAATTACACAGCACAGAAGGAGGCCATTCGGCCGATTGTGTCTGGTCCAGCTCTTTGAAAAGAGCTATCTAATTCAATCCCACTCCCCCGCTCTCTCCCCATAGCCCTGCAAACTTGTCCTCCCCAAATAATTATCTACTTCTCTCTTAAAAGTTGTTATCAAATCAGCTTCTACCACCCTTTCAGGCAATGCATTCCAGATCTGAACAACTCGCTGTGTGAAAAAAATTCTCTTCGCCTCCTCCTGTTTCTTTTAACAACTATTTTAAATTGGTGTCCTCGGATTACCAACCCACCCTAGCTGAGGCCTAAGCAGTGTTTTATAAAGGTTTACCATAACTTCCTGTCTTTTGTATTCTATGCCCCTATTTATAAAGTCTAGTATTCTGTATGCTTTTTTTAAAACAGCTTTATCTACCTGTGCTGCCATCTTCAAAGATTTACTTATATGAACCCCCAGGTCTCTCCGTTCCTTCACCCCCTTTAAGATTGTACCATCAGCTTATATTGCCTCTCCACATTCTTCCTCCCAAAATACATCACTTTGCATTTCTCCACATTAAACTTCATCTGCCAAGTGTCTGTCCACTTTACCAGTCTGTCTATGTCCATTTGCAGTCTGCTACGATCCTTCTCACTGTATACTACATTTCCAAGCTTAGTATCATTGGCAAACTTGGAAATTGTACTCCCCATACCCTCGTCCAGGTCATTTATATAGATGAAAAACAGCAGTAGTCTCAATACTGACCCCTGTGGGACACCACTGCACACTTCCCTCCAGCCAGAAAAACAACATTGTGCAGATAAAACTGGTATTTTGTCTTGTCACTCTCAATTATCACTTAGATAAGGAGTTCTTTGATACTGAAACACATTTAGTTGGAACATCTGTAAGCAGTTTGGGTTATCGGTTTTGAAGTGGAGCTAAGAAATCCTTTATCCACCCTTATACATACACACAGGGCAACAGAAGTTGAGGTTCTGGATCAGAATTTGTACTTAAGGGAAGCTTAACCCTCAACTGGTGGGTGGGTAACCCGAGGACACCGATTTAAAATAGTTATTAAAAGAAAGAGGGGAGGTAAGAAGAAATATTTTCACACAGTGAGTTGTTCGCATCTGGAATGCATTGTCTGAAAGGGTGGTGGAGCCAATTCGAGTCAGGAGCAGAGGCAGGAGAGCAGTCAGTCAGGAGCAGAGGCAGGAGAGCAGTCAGTCAGGAGCAGAGGCAGGAGAGCAGTCAGTCAGGAGCAGAGGCAGGAGAGCAGTCAGTCAAGAGCAGAGGGAGGAGAGCAGTCAGTCAGGAGCAGAGGGAGGAGAGCAGTCAGTCAGGAGCAGAGGGAGGAGAGCAGTCAGTCAGGAGCAGAGGGAGGAGAGCAGTCAGTCAGGAGCAGAGGGAGGAGAGCAGTCAGTCAGGAGCAGAGGGAGGAGAGCAGTCAGTCAGGAGCAGAGGGAGGAGAGCAGTCAGTCAGGAGCAGAGGGAGGAAAGAGATAAAAATCCAAGTGACCAGCAGGAAAATTAAAACGTGACGTCAGAGCGACGTCACAATCAAAACATTCTGAAAGAGTAAACTAACAGCTAACACTAACTAACAGTAAACTAACAGCTAACACTAACTACTAACAGTAAACTAACAGCTAACACTAACTACTAACTAACAGTAAACTAACAGCTAACTACTAATTAACAACACTAAAAATAAAATACAATAAAAAAATTAATAAAGAATTTAACTTTTAAAAAATAATAATTAATTAAATAAAACTTTAATTCACAGTGAGGGTGGGAGAGGTGGCAATGGCGTGGCCGGTGTTGTGTGAGGACAGTGAGGGTGGGAGAGGTGGCAATGGCGTGGCCGGTGTTGTGTGAGGACAGTGAGGGTGGGAGAGGTGGCAATGGCGTGGCCGGTGTGTGTGAGGACAGTGAGGGTGGGAGAGGTGGCAATGGCGTGGCCGGTGTTGTGTGAGGACAGTGGTGGTGGGAGAGGTGGCAATGGCGTGGCCGGTGTTGTGTGAGGACGGTGGTGGTGGGAGAGGTGGCAATGGCGTGGCCGGGTGTGAGGACGGTGGTGGTGGGAGAGGTGGCAATGGCGTGGCGCGCGTGTGTGTGAGGACAGTGAGGTGGAGAGGTGCAATGGCGTGGCCGGTGTTGTGTGAGGACAGTGAGGGTGGGAGAGGTGGCAATGGCGTGGCCGGTGTTGTGTGAGGACAGTGGTGGTGGGAGAGGTGGCAATGGCGTGGCCGGTGTTGTGTGAGGACAGTGGTGGTGGGAGAGGTGGCAATGGCGTGGCCGGTGTTGTGTGAGGACAGTGAGGGTGGGAGAGGTGGCAATGGCGTGGCCGGTGTTGTGTGAGGACAGTGGGGGTTGGAGAGGTGGCAATGGCGTGGCCGGTGTTGTGTGAGGACAGTGGGGGTGGGAGAGGTGGCAATGGCGTGGCCGGTGTTGTGTGAGGACAGTGGCAATGGCGTGGCAGGTGTTGTGTGAGGACTGTAATATGTGGGAGTTGCTGAAGGGCAGTCTGAGCCCGGGCGACCACATCTGCAGCAACTGTCTGCAACTGAGGCAGCTCCAGCTCAGAGTGTCTGAGCTGGAATCCGAGGTGGAGCCATTGCGCAGCATCAGGGACAGTGAGTGATTCCTGGATAGTTTCATCCTGGAGCCAGTCACTCCCCTGAGACTCAGGGAATGTATAGATAATAGTATCAGTCAAGGACAGGATAGGGTGTCTGACAGGCAGGAGGTTAAGGGAACATCAGAGAGAATCGTAGAGAAACCTCAGGCTTTAATCTTGGCCAACAGGTACAAGATCCTTGCAACCTGTGTGGACAAGGAAGCCTGTGAGGAGGAAGGAAAACGTGAGTCCAATATTAGGGGAAACAAACAGAAAGTTGTAGTAGTTGGGGATGAGACTATCAGGCAGACAGACGCAATCAGGAGACCCAAAGGCTCTGTTGCCTTCCTGGGGTCGGGGTGAAGGACGTCTCGGCGGGGCTGGAGGAGAATCTAAAACATGAGGGTGAGGATCCATAGGTATCAATGACATAGGTAGGGTTAGTTGTGATGATTTGAGGAGGGAGTTCAAGGAGCTGGGAACTAAATTAAAACAAAGAACATCAAAGGTAGTGATATCAGGATTGCATGTGCAAATTGGTACAGGAATAAGCAAATTAGAGAGTTAAATGCATGGCTGAGGGAGTGGTGCGGAATGCAGGGGTTTCATTTTATCGGCCACTGGCATCAGTATTGCGGAAAAAGGGGTCTATTTCAAAAAGATGGGCTCCATTTAAATCGGGCTGGGACAAATGTCCTAGCAAACCGAATACATAGGGAGGTAAATCAAGCTTTAAACTAGTAAAGGGGGAGGGATACAATTAGAAATAGTCACAAGCCAGCAATATTAAGAAAACTAAAAGTGGCAGAACAGAACAGGGAGAGAGATAAACAGAATAGGTCAAAGAGGCGTAAGAAGCTCAGTAAAGAAGATAGGGCAGAAGAGAGTAGGGGAAATGGTAAGAAATTAAAATCGCTATATCTGAATGCACGAAGCATTCGGAATACGATAGATGAATTAAAGGCACAGATACAAACAGGTATGATCTAGTAGCCATTACTGAGACATGGTTATGGGGAGTTAAATATTCCGGGGTTTTCAGTTTATAGGAAGGACAGACAATGTGGAAAACGAGGTGGGGGAGTAACCTTGTTAATAAAGGATGGAATAAAAACAGAAGAGAGGAAGGATTTCAAATCAGATAACCAGGACGTAGAGACGGTATGGGTAGAATTATGAAATAACAAGGGGCAGAAAACATTAGTGGGAGTAGTTTATAGCTTTATCACCCCAAACAGTGATCGCAGCAGAGCGCAGGGTATTAATCAAGAAATTAGAAGAGTATATAGCTAAGGTAATACAGTAATAGTGGGTGATTTCAATCTTCACATAGATTGGGAAAACCAAATCGGCAAAAGCAGGGTAGAGGAGGAGTTTATAGAATGTATGAGAGATAGCTTTCTGGAGCAGTATGCTGAGGAACCAACTCGGGGACAGGCCATCCTGGACCTTGTTTTGTGTAACGAAACAGGGCTAGTCGGTAATATAGATATTAAGGCTCCTTTAGAGCAGAGTGATCATAACATGATAGAATTTAATATTAAGTTAGAGAGCAATGTAGAAAATCCAAAGTAATGGTCTTAAATTTAAATAAAGCTAACTTTGCAGATATGAGGGAAGAATTAGCTAAAATAGAATGGAGAATTAGATTAATGGATATGACAATAGACCAACAATGGCAAACGTTTAAAGATGTAGTGCATAATTCTCAGCAGTCACATATTCCCTTGAGGAATAAGAGTACCACAGGGAAAGCAGTTCATCCGTGGCTAACTAGAGCAGTTAGAGAAAGTATAAAACTAAAAGAAAAGGCCTAAAAAACTGCCAAAAAGAGTAGCAAACCTGAGGACTGGGAGTGTTTTAGGGACCAACAAAGGAAAACCAAAAAGCTCATTAAGAGTGAGAAAATGGATTATGAGGGCAAGCTAGCTAGGAACATTAAGACAGATTGTAAGAGTTTTTATAAATACATTAAGAGGAATAGGCTAGCAAAAGTAAATGTGGGTCCATTACAGGCAGAGACAGGAGGAATTATAATGGGGATAAGGATATGGCAGAGTCCCTAAATAAATACTTTGCTTCTGTCTTCACAT